TTACTGATTTAATTTTAATATTATCGATAATGATGTTGATAAACGCGACTGGTTGGCATATTAAAATTCCTCACAAGAGCTCAATACTTGCTATCCGAAATATCCTCGAGTAGATCGAATATGTTTCAATAAAAATACTTTTAAAATTAAAATTAAAAAAAAACTTTTAAGAAAATTAAAAATAATTTGATTTGACCAGAGGCATTTAAAAATTGAGTAAATCCTTTTTTTAAAAACTTTTATTTAATAAAATATGTTATAGCTGCACAATTAAAAATAAATTAAATAAATAACGTATAGTAGACTACTAAATATATTATTCTAAACTAATCGATTATTATAATAAAAAAAGTTTTCTGGTTTTATCTATGTTAATGATACAGTTATGCTGTTTTAAAGATAACATATTATTTTTAATAACTAAACAAACAGAATACGTTTAGATGGTAAAATTATTAAGATAAATTGCTAAACAACATAATTTAAAATAATTATTAATTAGCAAAACCGTCGGTGATGGCAAGTCAATATTTTAGGTAGTAAAAGATTTTTATTAAACTAAATGGATTAAAAAAGGGTTAATAAAAACATATTAATCTCAATAAAAATATGTTTTCTTATTTGTGTTAATATATTTATGGTTTTACATCAATTGAAAACAAATTTCATTGACTGGCATTTCGACGTTAGATTATGAAAAGTTTTGAAATTGTATACTTAAAGTTCAAAATCCCCTAGGGGTGCACGGAAATTAAACAAGCTTAGCACACCCGTGGCCCCAAACTCTGCTCCTTCAGGTTGGGGGTCGATAAAGGCCTGATAAACTTATCTCATTATCACAACGTTTACTTAGAAATCTTAAGTTGAAAGTGAGAAAGTTTAATAAAATAAATTTATAATCGTATATTCTATGAATAACTTATTTATTCTGTGAACTTAAGTGTTGAATAAACCAAATAATATATCTCTGGACTGAATTTTCAACGTTACTTTTACTATACTTGTTTTCACTAGATACAACTTACCAGATTGAATACTCTGCTATTTTTTTCTTAACCTGGTTGGTGACCGCCTAAACTAAGAAATAATCATACCATTTCTGTCCAAGAGCAGCGCACTTTTAATTAAATATGTTAGCAAAGATTATTCTGAGCCTGTAAAAATGAGAAGTAAACCGCTCGTAAGCCGACTACGTTCTTAAAAATGAAGTCAAAATCATTTGAATGTAAATAATATTTATCTATGAAAAGTTTTAAATGTAAATAAATAATACAAATGCTATTTAACGTTTTAACAACATCTATATCAAAACAAAAGGCCAGTAAAGTGCACAAAAGGCGTCGTTAATACGGTTTTTATGAACAGTACAAACTTGTAATAAAATAAAATAACTTAACAATATTAATAATTATAAAATGTAAATGCATAATATTATTATATAGAGGGTAAAGCATAGTAGTCAGCATAGTCAATCCGATTCGATCACGATTTTCCGTGACGTTCGTTCACAACGTTATGAAATTCGACGAGAAGTTGTGCATCTCCATGTACTCTTTTATCTTTTAATGATAATTTTTCCATAACCACAATACTTCCTCCGTCTGGCCTTAACGGTGCCGACCCTGCACGTCCCATAGCACTCCTCGTTGGTGATGTTTACCGGACCCGTGCAGCAGTGGTGGAACACACCGTTGTAAGACGCCCTGAGCCCGTCGTCGCACAGGAACCTGGAGTCCTTGGGAGAAGGGTCGTCCGGCGAGTACTCGGAGAGCACTTCCTGACTTCCGGACTCGCTTTCCTGGGGTTCATTGGCCAGATGTGTTATATACGGGCAAGTAACGGCCATGACGGTGTTTGATCCGAACACATACACCGCCATGTACACAAAAGCTGATACGATGTTCATTACCGAGGGGATACCGTATCCACTACATACATAGAACGACCAGCAGCACTAACAATACGTTAGCTGGGCTCGTCGTCCGTTTGGAAAATAACAAAACAGCCGACAACCGTAGAAATTACCGCAGTCGATTATCCGATATGATAGCAGATAACGACGGTGCAGAGATTATATTATTGAGACGTGGACATGTATGGTATAAAGAAAAAAAAAGTTTAAAAAAAAAACAAATGTCTAGCTTATTTGAATGCGTTTACAACTAGGTTACAGTATCAATTCAACGATAGTAAAAAAATGTTTTTTTTAAACTTAAAATTAGTTACTTTCATTCGTTCACCTCTTACGAGTGGTAAAACATCGGTGGCATTCAAGTTTTATGGAAGAAGTAAAAAAATCGATAGTTTAAACTAAACCAACGTTAAATGTCCAAATCCAGCAAAGTACGATGACCTGTTAAGATGGATTAGGTTTGGTTTATTAAAAAAATAGGACATTGTTTTGTTTTTTGTTTTTGATACTATATTATGTATTATGTTTGTTTTGCACAATAAACGTACTTATTAACCGTAGTGAATTTTAATTTGTATGTATATATTTTGTCAAGTACATAAATTAATAAAAGCTTTATCAATTTCAAATTTGTTTGATCAAAATTATTATTTTATTTTAGGCTAATAAGTATAGTAATGTTAGCTGACTGATTAGATTGATTTTATAACACATATTAGTACACATTTAGTACACACATATGTACCTCTTTCATCTAAGTTGAGTTGAAAAATAAATGCTGCATCTGTATATTTGTTTACCTTCGTTATTAAAAAATCCAGCGAATAACAAGATAATAGATATCATGAACTGAAAAATAACAATAACAATAATAATATAAGGAAAATATCTGCGTAAAATAACTATTCTTATCGCTATATCAACAATAAAAAAAACATTATTAACACATTATGCACCACGAGTGAAACTAATGAGAATTTAATAATTGCTGTGTTGTATCATTATTTATAAGTAATGCATTTTAATGTTTATTCCAGCTATCAAAAAGCCTACAGATGCTAGATCATTGCGTTTCGTCACGTTAATACGGAAAAAAACCCACCTTTTCTTTTATTTTTTTGTTTAAATATTTTTTCAATTGGCAACTTAAGAATGATTTGGTAGCATATTCCAATGACCTTGGTATAAAAATAAACTGTCTAGGTCATATTTATAAGGATTTATTATTAATTTTGTCTGTACTTTGTTTTGTCTATGTCTCCGGTGCACTCTATTTATTTCTATTTTGAATTCCTCGGTATTTAGTGGACCGATTTGTTTTTTTTCATTCTACGTATTTATTAGTGAACATTATTATGGTCTAAAAAAAATCAACTGACATTTTCAGTTTCTGTTTTACATTGATATTAGTGACCATCCAGAAAATAACCCACCGTGCAGCAACGACAGTCCAGTCAATAACGATTTTAAAATTAAACAAGTCGGAAAGTTTTGAAACTTGGCAGAAATGTTCTCTATGATCTGATTGATAAAAAAAAAATCCCCCACTCCTTCGAAGACCGGAAGTGTCCGCCATTTTGATTTTTAAGTATGATTTTTAAGATTTTACGTTTTTTTCTCAATTATTATAAAAAATATTGATTTTACGGCAAAAGTAGTTTTATTTAAAAATATAGCTGACAAAATGTTCAACAAATATGGTTATATACTTTTTTCGGTCAGTCGAATAACAAATTGAGTATATCTCACCGAGCATCGTAATATTTAACGACGCACGCTTTAATTGAGTGTTTAGGTAGATTATTAATTATTAATACCTACATTATTACCACAATTTTCAATATTTTACTGCTCTTGTTGTGCACGATAGGACACATGTATCCCACCTGTACAATAATTCGTCATTCCATTAAATTTTTTTTTTTACTTATTAATAATTTTATGTAAGGAATTTAAAAAAGATTATATTAGTAGTTATAACAATTAAATAAAAATTTGATAGGCTGTGCAACAACGGGGTAGACAAATCTGAAAAACGTGTGCCGCAAAGAGTTAACGTCACTGTTAAGTACATTTTTACTATAGTACACTTTTATATCAAGTAAATTAAATTATGTCAATGATTAAGTAGTTTTTATCATTTTCGATGGTTGACCATTTATCACGTTTACATATAAGATAAAGTTTATCTCTGGAAAAATTAAAAAAAACTGTATTGGTTTTTTTTTTGATATTTTTTTCGTTTTTATCTATGTGTTATATGTTTATTTTAAATTATGTTTAAAAACATAAAGCGATATTATTTTGATTATTCTTCGAAACGATAACAATTATTACAATATGAAATTATTAAATAATAATAAATTTCCATTTTCATATTTTATCTGTCTATTGTACACCAAAAATGTCGAAACTTGTCAGGTTGACGTGGCTAGAGTATAATTTATATACAGTATATTTGTCTATATTAATAAAAAACAGAATGTAAGAACTTTATTTTTTCTTTTTATAATAACCAAGTATTTTAGCTAAATCGAAAAAAAAAACACAAATAACACTAATTATATAATAGTTATAACTGCTGTTATTATTATTAGCATTAATTGAAAATCTAGCATTTATGCTATCTCGACAATTGGTAAGAAGATTATAGTTCATTATTATAAATATTTCTAAGTGTTTTCACATCGACCTAGATAACAGTGTCTATTAATAATAATGTTAAAAAGCAACTGATAATCAACAAATGTATACCTGCTGATGTAGTTGGTGTTTTTTTTATGACTTCGGCGGTTTGTGGTTTATGGCAAAACTCGTTACACCAGCTATTAAAATATCGCTGTATACTTACAAAGTTTACAGTAAAAAGTAATTAAAAAGTCCGACACTTCAATTCCAGGCATTTAAGAAAATAAGTTAACGACGACGTAACGGTGTCAGCAGCAGAGTCGTAGATACATTGCAGATTCGGTTACTCCAACTAAAAGGCTATTAGGTAAAAAGCAATTTATATTTAACCGTGTTTGTTTAAACAGTAATGAGATCTACTTACATAAAATTCTAAAGAAAATATAGTTTTACTTCCATGTAAGTGTCGAAGTCAAAAATGTATTTAACAATAAAATTAGACATCATTTTAACATTTGAGTGATTAGTTTTAATATAATTTCTATTCGAGTGTATTCCACAAAATATAAAACATATTTATATTTAAAAACTTATAACCGAATAAGATTTTTTAAGCTAAAAAGAATAAAACATTATTATAACTGTTATTATGAATATATATTATGTATGAATAATACAATTATAATTAAATTAAAATTTAATAGGTACACTTATATATTTCCTCTGTGCATTTGATTACAAGTTTTCAACTATAAATCTGAATATAAACTTCATATTTTCCTCTAAATAGTGGATGAGCATTTCTTATGGTTGTATGATTAAATTAGAGTGATGATAAACAAAATTTAAATGTTTAATTTACTCACTTATTACCTGGCTAAAATAGTATTTTGTTATAACTAATTTATACATTTTAATTTTGTTGACTACATTTTTTTAATATTAACGAAATTATTGCACAGTTAAAAAATTTGTTTTTGAAATGTATTTATTAAGAAATAAACAAATTAGGTTTGAATTTTTTAATGAATAACCACTCTGTATCACTAATGCTTTGTAAAACAACTATAGTCTCGCGTACTTTGATAAACAGTTTTTCTAATAGTTCGGCCAGTTTTGGATCTTCTTTCTTAACCGTGTCGATCACCTTTAAAGCAAAATCTTCGGCGATTTTTCTCGACTCCTTTTCTAGCTCTTTTCTTGATTTTAACTTCTGGTCACGGTGCATGTCTTCCAACTATAATACGATAATTACATTACCTAGTTTGATATCATACTCATAAGTATATAAATCAATAATATTTTTAAATTTCGGAAAAATTTATCTCCAGACTTCAAGACATAATAAAAAAACAACTGGTTATATTATGCTATAATTATACAGGATTATCTAAACTTTATTTAGGTAACATTATTCTTTTCTAAAAAAACAATAATTGTTTTAGCTAAAAAACATTTTAAATATAATCATTTTTACACGAAATTATCAAAAATAACTTAAAATGTTAGTTGAAAATATTATCCAAGAGGATAAATTTGGTACTTTCAAAAATCAAATGGCAACATATTATTTGATATACCTACTAAAAGCATAAAATGAAAAAAAAAGATTGATCGATGATTGATATTGAATAAATATTGTACGCCGTGATGTTATTTATAAATATAGGTACGCGTTATTCACCTTACTTCCTAAAAATATTTGTCAACTACATACAATATAATATTAAATAAACATTTTTAAATACATTATATGAAAGTTTATTCCCCAAATTTATTTTTTAATGCTGATAAAGAAAACTACCACACTATTTGATTCATTTTTGTTGTTTCCAATTAAAACTGACTAATAACAATATAATACCTAACTTGTAATTAATATTTTTCTTTTGATGTATTTAATTGCTAGGAACCTACCTAAACCTTGTTAAGTATTATTATATCCTATTTCATTATACTCATCATCCTATTTATCATACTCTTCATAAAAACAATGAATAGTGTAATGAAATTTAAAACAAAAAAATACCTTCCAACTTTACATTGTAGCTCTACATTAGATTTACCTTTTTATCCAATTCGGTAAGATATCTATCCCAATCTTCGGTGTGTAAATTTATTTTTGCTTGGACATCTTTGTAAAGTTGGTTGTTTGCGACTTCATAGACTATATCTTCGAGATACGCAGAGAGCGGTTTGTCATCCTGTAACGCACACATTTTGCAAATAAGATACATTTAAGATGTTTAATAATTATTTATCAATGTAAAATATTGTTAACTAGTAAAAGAAATAACGTAGAATAGATTAGTGTTGTCCAAGTTACCTATATTACTTTTTTTTACCTTAACGGGAGCGGCCAAAGTAGTCACAGCTAGACCCAGGGAAAATAAAAATATTTTTAAGGAAGACATGGTGTTCGATTTAATTCACCTTAACGACTGATATTAAACAAATCCGAAGTTAATGTATTTCTAGTTATAATTTATATAAACACAACCTTATTGTTTGTACATGATGTACCTTGGTCATCTGTTTAATGTTCACGTTGAATAAATAAGCAATAATTATTTTTTAAAGTAACGCTCTATGGAATTTAGCAGTATTATTATTTTATATTTGTTAAAAACACTCGTTATCTCTATGATTAGCTTTGAAAATAATTATAACCGTTTGTACTAAATAAAGCGTACTTTGATTGCACTTCGATTACAGCAATAATTATTGTTTATTTAACAAAATAATAATGAGCAATTAATAGGTATTGTGTTTGTATAAAATTAACTTTAATATTTTGCATGATAATTCATCCTTACCGTTGATACAAGCACGGCGCATGTTCAATACGTATACTTTTTTTTTGTATTGGGAAAACCCCTAAACGTGTAGGTTACTGTGTACTTGTGACCTCCCTCACCCTAATATGATCTGTCCTCATTATGCCTTGAATATATTGATGATGATTTATTATTATTATTATTATTTTTTTTTCAAGAAAAACCATTTGGTTCCGCAAGGCACAATCGAATTTACTTTAATAATGTATACAAAAATAATATAGTGTATTAGTTGAGTTCTTTTAATTGGCACGACGGCCCTAGGAAATTCTCTAAGGTGTTTGACTTTCATTCGTCTTACGCCGGAAAATCGTTCGACATTACCGCCAAAGGCATAGTGTTAAAAATAATCAATCGTTTATTTTTGTACCTCGTCAGTCGCTCTCTCTTAACACACAATATAAACAAACGTAATTTCTTCCCCTGCATCCGGTTAAGCAAGTCTTATATGAGGGAAAAGAGCAGTAAAAATGTATATCGCTGTTTATTTTTATTTATTTCAAAATATAAAATATATTATGTACTGTATGTGTATTCCGATGAATTGTTTAGAAACAAATAGAATTAAAAACACTCAATTGCCTCTACTAGTCTATATTTAAAATTGATTTGTTAAACATCTTTCGGTAGATAAGTATAAAGATCAAATACCGTATCTTATATGAGGAAAAGAAACTAAAAATAATAACTGCAAAAACCTTTATCAACAAACAAGTTTTATTTTTATTTCAACAGATAGTATTTTTAAAACAAAATTTTAATTATATTATTGTTACTTGTTAACAATGGGGTATGATCTTATCGTTTTTATGATTATAAATAAGACATAACTAATTAATGAAACGTAATTAGCATGAAAACGCTGTTTTTGAAAAACCATTTTGGTAGGTAACTCCAATATTGTATGAAAAAGGTTCGTTAGATAATAACGATAATATCTAGACTTTTTAATAATCGTATTAATTAGTACCAAAGTTTATTTTTAGCTCTTAAATTAACTAAATGTCCTAAATAATAAATAACACAGTATACCCAACGGACGATAATTCATTTATTAAATACTTACAAGTTATATAATTTCTTAAATTGACGTCTTCAAGTAAATATCATTATATTCATCTAATTTTAAAAGTCAATAATCAAATAATTGTAAGACCAACACTAAATTAAATATAAAAATAAGTAGTGTTTAAAAAATAAGTACACTATCATTTACAATATGCTATTTCACACCGAACTTTTAGTTGGCAGTAACATCTATTAGTTTTATTAAGATATGCTTTTTTTATCATTATTAAAATCTTAAGTATTCAAAATAGTAATCATCTTATATCAAATATTTTTTACCTATGTAAGTTACCTAATTTCCTAAGAATAAAAGGTACAAATATTTTATACCTCTAAATAAAAATCTACACTCCAAAACCGACGTCAACCACCCTCCTTGCACACACAAGCCAAAGTTATTTTAATTTAGTGCGGAGAGGGACATAACAAAATACTTAAAAATAAAAAATATATATTTCTGAAATTACATTTTTACATATTTGACCTATTTACAGTTAATAAAAATTAACTTTGATAAGAGGACGTTTATCTCTATACGCTATAGACAATTTTCACAGAATCTAAATAGCGATTCATTTTTATATCATCCCAGCACTGATAATAACGTTATTCATTCTCTGCATTGTTTTTTTCGTCGAAATATACCATACTCTTATGCTTAGAGATGATATCTGATTGTGTATTGTAAGAATCCAAGTCATAATATGTGACCAAAACTTAAAAAACAGTTTGTAATCAAGTAAAAAAAAAAAAAAATCATAAATAAAGCATTAAAAATAATATATATTGTCTACATTATATTTTATAAGGACATGTCTTCATAACATCTATTATAGTAATACTATGAATGTAAAATGCATTAGCATTAGGCAATCACACGAGAATCATGTAATTAATTAAGGACTAATGACTGTTTTGAATGCATTCAATGTTGAACATGTTACATCGATAAACTTGTTAACCAAGTGATGTGCTTTCTCATTGACTACACATATGTTAGCGAAAATATTCATCATAACAGGAAGATTCTAAAAATGAAAAAAAAACACTTCAGTAAATCTTTAAAAATACCTAATTATATAATTTATTGTTTTATAAGCATAATCGTATTTCGAGTGTGAAATATTGTTTTTTTTTTTTTTTTTTTTTTATTGATCAAAAGCCTCGGTTACAATGACCATTGGATATACAATACAATTATCTTATTTTATCACTTTTGATATATACAATAAATACTATTTATACGAGTACATACAAGTCAGATTGAGAGATAAAATTAACAGTTTTGGAGATGTCGGAATATGGACCCAGAGCTTCCCATAGATCGTCAGGCAGTTGGTTGATTTTTTTGAGGTCTTCATATTTTATATTGTTTTATTCAATTCCAGATTCATCATAGTTCCAAATAATTAAATAGTTCTTAACTTACTGCGGTTAGTAACTGCGTTTGCTTTTTAAACACTAAGTTGTCAGACTATTTTTAATGATCTAACTAATTACTAAAATTAGGTTTGTAACTTGCTCAACATTGACTGTTTAATTTATTATCAGATATATCACTATGATAATTTTTGTAGATACCTTTGGAACTGAAAAACATTTTTCAGTTATACGGCTGACTATACTTCTGTAACAGGGGAACATATCCATGTTTAGTGGAAGTTGAGCTGGTCTCTCCACTGAACCGATTTTCGCAGCAACTCCTGGCATTTCCTTTGCAACTTTTTTATAAATTGCCTTCATTATTTTATCGACTAACTGTTTCATCTATGACACATAAACAAACAAACAGATATAAAATATATTTTATACATTTCCTTCTAGCCTTATTTTTGCAACTTTTAAATTATGACTTCTGAATATAACTGATGATAATATTATAATTATATTGAAAAATGGGACAAAGATAACTATCATTCGAATCAACAATTAGTCAAGTCTTTACTTTTAAACTTAAAAAGTCCAATAGTTTAGTCAATGTATGCAGCAAAGTGTGGTTGTAATGATTAAGTAGTTCAATGACTGACATTCTCATCTACTCACATTCTTTTTTTGACCAATTTCTTTTTTCAGTAATTTCCTATTGATTGGGTCTTTAGTATTTAATAACTGGCGTTCCATAGTGTATTCGGCTACATCCTGTTGTCGTACTACGGACTAAAAAAATAATAATAATTTATTATTATTTACACAAAATATCGTATTATGGCTAATGATATATTTTTGTCATACTATTTATCACTTACATTGATTTTTAACGGATTTAACAGGTTTTTGGATTTATTAGCAGAACTCTTGCCGTTAGAGAATCCTAAGAACGAGGATATTTTTTCAAGTCCTACGCGGAAGTCACCATACATCATCACGTCACTCATAATGACATTAGTCCGGGTTTCTTGAAAATCTTTAAGCACCGGTCTTGTGTTGGCCGCAGTAGTCGACGAACATCTGCTCAGAGTTAGGATTGATTAAGGTTATTAAAATCATAAGAAACACAAGTAAATAGTTGCCAAAACAATTTCAGTCTATAAAAACCCAATGTATATTTCTTGGCCTTTGTTAGTTGTTTCCCATTTTCTACTCCAGCTTCTAAATCCTAACAACTCACCTTTGTCTTTGACGCTCTTTTGACTAGTTTTTAAGTGGCCTCCACCTAGTTTTCCTAATTATAAGCTTTGATAGTGGCACTAATCTAAAATAGCATCTTTTCACTGCTACTATTTTTAGTATTATATCTCATAACTACCAAGGCACACATTAACGAAATTCGTCCACCCTTTCAAGTTTATAATTATCTAAATTTAATTGACTCGTCCCAAGTTTATGTCTTGCTACTGGCGTGTATTTCGTTTTTTCCTCAATTATTGTTCGAACGTCTTCTAACATAATATAACACAAAGTTGTCAAATATCTCATATTCCAACAAAAAGCGAAATACCTTGTCCCAGTTTTCCATCCAAGTTATACTGAATAAATCTCCCAGACATGTACCATATACTCCGCTTTCTTCGTCGTAATAGCATCCCCGTGAGTAATCCGAAGGACCAGACGCAGTGATGGCAAGAACTGAAAATCGTCAAGAAAATTTAATTAGTTTTGTAGATGGATTTAGGTTTTTCAATATTATTGAAACTGACTTGATTTGTCGTCATCCAGCAAATCGTCAAACATCGAACCCGATTGACAAGCTTCTATATACAATACGATCTAAAGACAACAATATTGAACTAAATTACAGCCATAAATCAACTGAAATTATTTTTATGATAGCAATTACCTTTCCATATTTTCGGCGAATGTACATCTCTTTAAGCGTTCTGATTAGTTCGTCAGCGTAAAACACGTCCTCTAGGAAGCCGACCATGCCGAATCCACCGTGATCGACAAAGTAAATGAAAATATTATCATGTGGACCACTGTATCCGGAAAATGACGAGTGATTATAAAAAATAAATGTCCAATCATAGGTTCGACCCTTTCAACATCCTTTCAAGTCCTTAAAGAGTTTAGATACAAAAAACAGTGCTCAGGAACAGCATTGATTTGGTTGATTACATTTTTCGGGAAACTAAAACTACTACATATAAAGTATTTAAACTTACCAAGCCACCTACTAATAAAGCCCCCCCCCCCAAGTTCTATTTTAATAGCACCGAAAATCTTAATGCCGATACGATTATGCTCGTAATCATTAAGTCATGTTACGTATATATTATACGTACATTTCGACTACTCTGCCGGATCCAATTCCCGACATTGTATCTCTGTGACCTTTGAGAACACTAAGGAAGTAATTCTTCGTTATGTTCTGTTTTTAAAAGAAAATCAATAGTTTAATCAGCCACGTAGAACATGAAAATTGTCCGAATTGAAAATTAACTAAGTATTGGAAAGAAAACAGGCAAAAAATTGGAAATTTCAAATAGGAATAAAATATATTGAGTTACTTTTTTGAGAAATGTTGTTATTATTCAAAATATGAGTAGAATAGAAATAAATATAGAAGTGTCTCTGTTTTAAACTATAAGTAATAGTCTTTCATTATTTGTACGAAACAAGTTAATTCATGGTGCACTTGTAACATCATAATTCAATTGATAATTTGGTTTGGTTTAATAAACATGTCGTTCATTGTAAAAGTGAATTAACTCTTTGTAATTGAATTTTGGAAAACAAGCTTTTTTGTAAATTAGTGTATAGAAAAATAAATTCAGTGTTTAATATATTTTATTTATTTTTGCATTTATTGGGATGCTTCTCTATTATAATGGAAGATAAGACTAAATATGACTCCATTAGGCAAATGTATGTATTTTTAAAAAATTTGGAGTTAAACCACTTTTACAATGACCGACACAAATGTTTTTAGGTAAGTACTCACATGTCGGCCCGCGTAATCGACTTTCATACCTTTGTATACATCTGTTCCGTTGGACTGATTAATCAATGTTCCTGGTACTGGATTACTATATAGAAAAACAAGACAAATTAATTAATTTTATAAAAACATGTTATTACACTTTTTGTTGACAATTGTTATTACTTTTCATGATTTACAACATCATTGGCCATCATCACGATGATATTTTCTTTGGGAATTCCATTTCTTATGACGACTTGGTAAGCATGTGCCACATCCGCCTAAGTTAACACAGTTAACAGACTTACATGTTAAAAAACGGTAATATCACAAAATGTTTATATTTATTCTGTGAAAAATTGTTAAAAACATTTTAGTTTAGTTGGTACCTGATGCCTATAATTTTCCCAACCCTCTGAACCGGCCACTCAAACAACCCATTTTTTTTCCTGAAAAAATATGGCCTTCGTCATTGTCGTGTAATGATCCTTGTGAACCGATTGCCAACAACAATATTAAACACAATCGGTAAAATTCTAAAAAAATAAATAAATAATAGTATTTAACGTATTCATTTTTTAATACATATATTAAACTTCATAAGAAAAAATCATAAATAATTGAAGTTAACGCGAAAAATCATGTATACCTTTTTTTCTTTTACGTCTCTTTAAGTACCTGTGCCTTATTAGAAACCCAATATTATGGGACTCATTTTAATGAAAAATAAAGGTATTTATTTATTTCATATATTTTACAGTTTAGTCTGAATTATCGCAGCACAGGTCGATTGCTAAACCAATACGAATCGTATTGCAATCAAACTATTCCGAGAAACTATAATATTCTTAAAAAAACAGTATTTATTTACACTCTTTTAAATTAAATTACTATAGACGTACTAAGATGTGGTAAGCAATCACTTCAAACGGTAGACCAACATTTAAGCTGTTACCAAGACATTGATTATTATCAAATTAGGAAATATTTCATCTGTGAATTATTTTGTTTACATAACGTATTATAGTATTTAGTCGTTTAAACTTTTATCGCTAAATCGTTCCTAAGTGGACTTTGTGTATATGAATCAAACATAACATGACAAGCTCTTATGACTATGGTATAAAAATAATCAAAACTAGTTATTTTAATGTTACAGGATAATAAAAAAAACACCTTAAAGAATTTAGAAGAATATTTTATAAACTATTAGTAATTTTAGCGAAGGTCAGCTACTGTGACTCACTAACAAATAATAGTATTATGACTTGATAGTATATAGATCTCGTTTTTTTCTAATTTTTTACATTGATGCTAAAAGATGCAAAGAGTGAGTCTTTTTTTTTCTGGATCGATTTCGTGGCGTCACATATCCGGATTTTATAATGAGATCCAAAAAACTAAATATTGACAAGACTACTTTTTGTTTAAAACTGTATTTTTCGAACGCTATGTTTGAGATGGTTGGACAGTTTGATTTGTCTCTCTGACCCAAACAATGTATTTTCGTGTGCTTAGTACAAACTAATAAACAAATTAAAATTGATAAAAAGCAAATATTTTCCTTTTCGCAGTCAGTGGTTCATTTATTTAAGGTATAAGTATAGACAAATTTTCATAGAATTTAAAATTTTAAGTTTAAACTAATGTATAGATTATGTAATGTAAAGGATCGAAGGTTTTAACTAGTGATTTATTTTTGTATCAGAAGAACGTTATTCATTGAGCACCATTTGAGAAAAAAAATTGTTTAGCCATGGTTAGAGATGCGTGATATTTGGTTGTGGATTATAAGAATTTTTTTATTGTAAAATACGAAGACATGACTAAAAAATTTAAAAAAAAATTAATGTAAAATTAATGAAGTATTAAACAATCACAAAATGATTTTCTAATTAGTTATTCCTCATAACTGTGATGAGCAGGTTACATCGATAAACTTGTTAACCAATTGATGTGCTTTCTCATTGACTACGCATATGTTAGCAAACATGATTATATTTACTTTTCCATTCTGAAAATGAAAAAAAAAACTTCATTAAACAACAACAAGGTGATACAAATACCTAATTTCATTAATTTATTATTATATTGATATAAGAACTAACTATTAAAAAATTCTGAACTTAATCTTAATTTATTATTGTATAGATTAATTACATTATATATAATTTTTTTTAAATAATATGCTTGAACAATTATTTTTTCCCAAAATGAAGACGATGTTCGATTAACATTAAGAAATACCTAATCTATTAGGATAAATCGAAACCAGAACTTAGCACAAACAATAAAAATTATTTTTCATTAAGGTTAAGGCATGAATAAATATAATGTGTCAATTTTGTTTTAGTTTATAAGATGAAGTTAAATTAAAAATGAAATAAACAAAAATCAGTACTGTCTGTGAGAATAAGTGCGTCTATAAATAAATAGGAGAAATAGAGTTAAAAAACTACTTTTTTGTTAAATAAATTTAAGTAACTAACGGAATAAAATATAAATTAAAAAATCGACCAACTTTTTTTACACTGAATGAAAACCTAGCGGGTGGCACCGACGTTATAAACTCACTAACTTAGCTTTTTAAATAATGACTAATGATATGTTAATGATTATTTTTATTTCAAACATTTGAAACTATGATTCACTAATCTGAGTAGTAACTGCATTTACTTTTAAACTCTTAGTTCACTAGCTTTCAATGATCCAATCAGTTATTCGCACTAAGTTTGTTACTTGGTTTTTAACTTTGAATACTTCATTTTTTATTAGATATATCATTTTGTTATATACTTTAAGTACCTTTAAAACTGAAAAACATTTCTCGGATATGCGGTTAACTATACTTCTGTAACACGGGAACATATCCATGTTAAGTTTCAGATGAGCTGGTTTCTCCAGTGTACCGATTTTCGCAGCAACTCCTGTCATTTCTTTTACAACTTTTTTGTAAATTTCGTTCATTATTTTATCAATAGTTTGTTTCATCTATGACATAAAAAAAAAAAAATTCCAGCCATATTTTTGCAATTTTTAAATAAATATGACCTATAAATGTAACTGGCAATAATAGTAAGATATTAAATTTGTATTGAAAATTGTGACAAGTATAACTTTCATCGAAATCAACAAATTATCAAGTCTTCGCTATTAAACTTTAAAAGTTCTAACTGAAATGTTCATGTGCTCACATCTTTTTTTTGGCCAATTTCTTTTATCAGTGATTTGCGTTTGATCGGGTCTTCAGTGCCTAATAAATGGTGTTCCGAAACGTATTTGGCTACATCCTGTTGTCGTACTTTCGACTTAAAAAAAATAATTATTCATTTTTATTTTTATAAAATATTGTGCTATAGCTAAAGAAACATGTTTATGTTATACAATACGAGTATATATATATATATATATATATATCTTACATTTATTTTTAACGGGTTCAGTACGTTTTTCTTTTTGTTGTCAGAACTCTCGCTGTTGGGGAATCCTATGAACGAGGATAGTGTATCAAGTCCTACGCGAAAGTCACCATACATCATCACGTTACTATCATAAACAGCAGTCCGGGTGTCTTCGTATGCTTTGTAGACCGTTCTTGTGACGGCCTCAGTAGACGCTTCTTCGATCATCTGCTTAAAGTTAGGATTGATTAATAGGTCATCCAATTCATGAGAAACAATTAGAAGTGTTAGTAGCTAAGATTTTAGGTTAGACCAAAGTTACTAATAGACAATACGATTATAGCGAACAGATTAACATTCTCCCTTCGTAGTTGACAAAAATACTACTAAGACGACCCCACTGTTTTGGCATATGTTATACGTTATTAAAAACTAAAAAACCGGTAACAGTATAAGTTATGTGAATTTATCTACACTTATATTTTTATCTATACTATAAATTATGATTAAAACATTTTTTTGTGGTTTAAAAAAGATAACTTCTTCAGAATGGCATATATTTCGTTTTCTCCTCAATTATTGTTTGACCGTTTTTTAGTTTAACATCTTAGAAAGTTGACAAATATATCATACTCCAATAAAACGCGAAATACCTGTTCCCAGTTTTCCATCCAAGTTGCACTGAATAAAGTTCCCAAGCATGTGTCATATTTTTCGTCGTAATAGCCTTCCCATGGGCATTCCCAAGCACCAGACGCAGTAATAGCCAGAACTGAAAATCATCATGAAAGCAGTAAAATTTAAATCAATGGGTTTAAGTTTTCTTTTCAATATTTTAAAAACTCACTCGATTTGTCGTCATCGAGTAATCCGTCAAACATTGAACCCGAAGCACAAGAATATATGTACAATAATATCTAAAGACAACAACATTGAACTAAATTACAACTTACTATAAATAAACTAAAATTATTTTTTATAATAGCTATTACCTTTCCATATTTTTGGCGAATGTACATCTCTTCAAGAATACTGATCAGTTCGTCAGCGTACACTGGATAGTCATCTGGGAAGAACAACATGCCGGAATTGCCTGCACTGAGGAAGTTAATGAAAATAGTATCATGTGGACCACTGTAACAGAAAGAATAACAAGTGATTGTAAAATACCATATAAATAAAATGTCCAATAATAGTTTCGAGACTTGCAACACCCTTTAAAGCCCTTACAGAATTTAGATTTAAAAACTGGTGCTCAGAAACTACATTCATTTGATTTTTTACGTTTTGTGGAGCCTAAAACTACTTTAAAAGATTAATCACCAAAAATCCTTATTCGAGAACAATAATTATGCTCATAATCATTAAGTTTTTATTATATGTACCTGTCGACTACTCTGCCGGATCCAATTCCCGACATTATACGTCTGTCGCCTCTGAGTACTCTGTAGAAGTTAACCTTTGTTAAGTTCTGTTTGAAAACATAAAAACAATAATTTAACCCTTCATCCGTGTAGAAAACGAAAATTTACTCAAGTGCAAATTAACTAAATATTGGAAAGAAAACAGGAATTCAAATTATAACTTTCCATAAGAATATTGAGTCAATACGTATTATTCGGAAAAAAAAGAAACCAAAACGATGGAATGACAATTTTTGTTAAAAATGATCTGTTAGTTAATCTATATGAATATGATTATGACGATTGTAATATTCTATGTTTAACAGTTACTATAGACAGTAAATCAATAGTTTTTTACTGTGTGTACAGATCACCATCTTACAAATGTAATGATTTTATAGCAAACTTAATGTTTATTCTTGATAGGGAAAATACATGTAGTGAAAGTACTTTTATAATTGGAGATATGAATATTGATATCATAGGTGGTAATGTAAACAATGATTATATAGACTTAATGGCCCATTATGGTTTTAGATCGCTTATCAATATTTTCACTAGAACGCCTTTAACAGGTAACAATTCTTGTTTAGATCATATATTTATTAGAGCCTCGGAACCAATATTAGATAAGATTATAGCCGGTGTGATTCAAACAGAAATTACCGATCATTATTCTACAATAGCAGCATTACCATTATTTAAAAATTATGATAACATAAAAGATCCACTAATTGTTAAGAGAATAGATTATAAACTGGTCTGTGACTTGTTAAAAGTAGAAAATTGGAATTGCTTATTTAGTTTAACTAATGTAAATGAAGCAGTTGATACATTTTATGATAAAATTACAAATGCTATTGAGAAAGCAAGCAACTTAAAAAAAGTAAACTCTAAAAATAACAAAATTAAAGATTGGATGACAAAAGGTTTATAAACATCACTTCGTCGTAAAAATTATTTATCAAAACAAGTTAAAAAACATCCCCTAAATTCTAATCTGCGTAATTATTATATTAAATATAGAAATAAATTTACTTTTATATTAAGGGCAGCAAAATTAAATTATTATAAAACGAAATTTGCAACGATAGAACATAACCCTAAGCTTACATGGAATTTTATAAATGAGCTTACTGGATCCAAAAATAACAAAAGAAATGACACAATTAAAGGTAATATTGTATATAATGATAATATTTTTGATTCACAAAGTAATTCTTTTGATACGTCAAATGCTTTTAACGAGTATTTTGCGAACGTTGGTGAGTCACTAGCAAAAAAAATTAAAAATAGATCTTTGTATAATATGAATACTTCAAGTAATATTTCTTTTAATGACATGTTTCTCAAACCGATTAAAAGTTCAGAAGTTTTATATATTATAAATAAATTAAAAGATAGACAGCCTCAGGATTTGATAAGATAACTGTTAAACTATTAAAACAGACTGCCAATTTTATTAGTGAGCCTTTAGCTTTTATTTTAAATTTAAGTTTAATACAAGGTATTTTTCCTGATAAATTTAAGCTAGCTGTAATAAAACCTCTATTTAAATCAGGTAAATTCAAGATGTCTTCATATTATAGGCCTATTTCTATGCTCAGTAATTTTTCGAAAATATTTGAAAAAATAGTTAAAGGAAGACTTATTGACTTTTTAGAACAAAATGATCTTCTGTCCAAAAACCAATTCGGGTATAGGCCAGGCAAAAGTACAACTGGAGCTCTTTATCTTACAACTCAATTTATATACCAGAAACTTGACAATAACGAAAAAGTACTTGCAATATTTTTAGATTTAGCAAAGGCTTTTGACACGGTTGATCACACTATTTTTTTGAAAATGTTACCTAATTATGGTATAATAAAGGAAAGTTATTCGTGGTTCAAAAGCTACTTAGATGACAGAAAACAAATGGTCTCTGTTAATGGTGTTCTTAGCAATGAGAAAAATATAAAGTATGGTGTTCCTCAAGGTAGCGTGTTAGGCCCAATTTTATTTATTCTATATATAAATGAGTTATGTAATATAAGGTTAGATGGTTTAGTAGTTGCTTATGCAGACGATACTTGCCTGCTTTTCTCTAGTACAACATGGGAAAATGTTTAAAACAAAGCTGAACTAGGTGTTAACAGAATATTTGAAGAGTTAAATAGTAGAAAGCTGTCTTTAAATATAAGTAAAACGGTTTTTATTGCTTTTTCTATTACAAAGTTACCCAATTTTCAAATAAATGAACTTAAAATTCACTCATGTAGCAATGATAATTCAAGTTGTTCCAACTGTCAGAAAATTATAAGGGTAAACAGAGTAAAATACTTAGGTCTAATCTTGGATAGTAACTTACGCTGGAATGTTCATATTGAGAGTCTGGTAATGCGTTTAAGATCAATTATCTATAAATTTCACAAATTAAATAAAATCTTCCCAACGGATACAATGCGTACTATTTACCAAGCGTTGTATAAGTCTGTCTTACAGTATGGATTGATAGTATGGGGGGGCTGTGTAATAAGACCACTAGAAGTACAACAAAATTTAATTGTGCGAATAAGCTTAAATAAAAAAGTACTTTTAGGTTCTACAGTACAAAACTACAAAGAATTCAAAATACTTCCAGTAAAGTCTCTTTATAAACAATTTGCCATTCTGTTTTCGTTAAATAATTTAAAAAAGAAAAATGAAACTAAACGTGACATTAGAGCGTATGACTTTATGATTTGGTACACAAAGAAATAATTTGGTAAACATTTTGTTGATTATGTAGGTCCAAATATTTTCAATTCTTTGTCTTTAGATATCAAAAAAAGTATTTGTAATAATTTAAGAAAAAATCATGGATATTTATATAATAAAAAAATTGTTTTTGCGTATTTATTAGAAAGCTTATAAATTTACTATACTGTTAAATAAATTAGCTTATGGACATTATGCATTTATAGTTCTCTAAGTCAGAATTATCTAAACTATTTTAATTATTAATTTTACTAATTTTCTGTTTGTATCTGTTTTATTACATTTTAAGTAAAAATTGTGTTGTAACTCATTTACCCCGCCACAAGCTTGCTTAATAGGGTAAATTAATCAAAATTGTTATATTGTAATTTATATTATATTGTATAACAATTATTTATATTAATAAAAAAAAAAAAAATTGTTTTGATAAATTTTATTATTTCCTCAAAATATGAATGACATAGTAATAATATCACAAGAGCCTGTTATTAACTATAAATAACAGTCTTAAAATATTTGAACAAAATATGTTAATCACTTTTACATAACTCATTTGCCCAAAAATGTGCACTTGTAACATTATTATACAATAGATATTATTTTTTTGTAAACTAATGTTTTTAGGTTAGAACTCACAGAACCAGCGTAATCGACATTGATACCTTTGTAAACATCTTTTCCGTTGGGCCGATTGATCAATGTTCCTGGTGCCGGATTACTATGTAGAAAAAACAAGATAAATTAATTAATTTTATAAAAATATGTCATTTACATTTTTGTTGACAACTGCTATTACTTTGTATGATTTACAACATCGTTGGCCATCAGCACGATGATATTTTCTTCGGGAATTCCATTTTTTCTGACGAGTTGGTAAGCATGTGCCACATCCGCCTAACAAAGATTTGATCGCGTTTACAGTTATAATATAAAACCACAGACTTACATGTTGACAAATATAACTATCACAACATTAAAAAAATAATATTATTATATTTATATTTCAATGTAAAAAATTAGTAAAAATATTTTAGTTTAGTACGTACCTGTAGCCCATAACTATCCCAGCCATCTAAACCGGCCACTAAAACAACCCATTTTTTTCCTGAAAAATTATGGTCTTCCTCATAGTCGTGTAATGATCCTTGTGAACCGATTGCCAACAATAATATTAAACTTAAACTGTGAAGGTCTAAAATCAAAATCAATTATTGACTTTTAATTATTAATAGTAATATGTTACTAATTATAATTTAAAGTTATTTTTTTTTTATGCAGGCACTGTATTTGACATTCAGGTATGGTCAATGATTAGTGTAACTCCGCATGTAAAACACACAGGCGGTTCCTTTTTTAATTTAAACAAGCCTAATTGTTAACGATTTCTATGTAATACATCATAATAACTGATGGGCTGCGGGGAAAAACGGATCAATGTCAATTTTTTAACGCTCTCAGAAAATCATGTTTTTAATTTCAAAACGTAATACATTTTGCCTGTATGCCTAAACTTCCGGCGGTCGTTACCCTCGACTAATTTGTTTTTTTCCTGGTTCGAGCGCATAAAAGATACAATACATCAATACAAATAATTTGATACCAAAATCTCATTTTCAAAAAGAATTGACATTGATCTTTTTGCCCGCATCCCTTCAACTGTTATTACTGTACCAAAATGTCTTGAGTTTACCCAAATGTTTCCTATTTATGTATATTATTAAAAAATGTTGGAGATATAATATCTTACTGAGCCTTAAAGTTTATATTAGGAGTAAACATTTTAACTAGGGCTGTAATTTAGATAGAAATTATCGTAGGATTCAAATATTTGGATTTGAATACGTAATTTTTAATGTTTCGTATACTCGTAAAATTGTAAATTAAATGTTTTTATTAAATGACATTTTAATATATACGGTATCTTTCAAGTTTGAAAAATTGTGTAGAGGTCTGAAAAGTAATAAAAAAGCTAAGTATATAGTAGTTTTATAATATTGTAAAATATTATCACCAGACATATTTATAGAGTTTACGACTTCATCCATAGGTACTTAAAAATTGGATTTGTCTTTGGAAATAAATATTTTAAACAAAACCACTATAAACATTAACTGAGTTAAGAACAACAATTTTATCAAAAAAAACTAAAAGTGACAATTATTTAAGGGAAAACGTAGCATACATTAGGTTTAATAGATCACTCTGTATAGTTAGTTAAAAAAACACAAAAATATATAAGCCTTAATTGTCATGTGCTTGAATAATCAAACAGCTTGATGCATCATTATGAAATTATTATATATGTTTAGTCCTTACCCATTTTGGTTTATCCGGTAAAATTACAAGTCTCTTTGGAAATCGAATGTTATGCGCTTCCAGACCTATATTAAACCACCGAACCGAAGCTTTTAAACAAAGAACTCAGTTATCTCAAAAACTAATTGAACACGTTGAAATTCTTAACGACAATTAGCTACTGAAAGATTAGATTGTAAAAGTAGGCAAGTATCTCGTATCTATATCTTTAAACGTTTGTACACCTGTACATAAAGTCACACACACGTGTCTTCTCGTAAAAAAATTTACCTAATAGATAACACTTATATATTATTAATTAAAAATCATTATTTTGAAACTTATTTTGATAAATAATAAATGTATTTACTTATTTCATATATTTTACAGTTTAATCTCAATTATCGCAACACAGGTCGATTGCTAAATCAATACGATTCGGTGAAATCAAACTATTCCGAGTGATTATAGTAGCTTAAGAAAAAGTTATATACATATAATATTTAAAAATTGTATTTGGTTTAGACGTACTTACTTATGGAAAACAACCACTTCAAACGGTAGGCCAATGCATAAACTGTTAACAAAACATTGATTATCATCAAATTTTAGGATATATTTCATTTCTAATTATTTTGTTTACACAACGTTAAAGTGTTTATTTGTTTGTACTTTTATCGCTAAATCACTCTTAAGTCGATATTCGTATATGTGTCATTCCATGCCAAATCATCTGATCAATGTGCGGGTGCATTTTCTAAATGTTTCAAACTTGCAATTAATAGTTCCATAAAATCGAAAAATCGAAAAAGTGAAGAAAAAACATTTAAAACCTTTTCATTTTGGACTTAGACAATGCTATATTCAGTAAATTTGTTGTAAAAACACCTTAAGTTCACGACCACGTTACTTAATGACTAAATATGATATCAAAATAGAACTTTCACTCAAAAATTGTAATTCAGGTGATAATAATTCTATAGTAGCCAAAAATAAACTTTTTGAAAGTAATATTATTTGCTAAAAATTTGGACTTGCCGATTACCACATTTAGATAATTTAACTATTAAATTTTTAAACTTGGTTGATTGCTAAACCAATACGATTCGGTGCAATCTATATATTCCGAGTAATATTATAATATTCTGAGAAAAGCAGTTTTATATTTACTCTCTTATAATTTGAATTGGTTAAGACGTAATTTTTAGCTATGACCTATTGAAAGCCGCTGACAAATAATAATATTATAACTTAATAGTATCCAGAACTCAATTTCTTATACTGATTTTCAACTTCGATATGTTGCTAAGAGTGAGTGACTTTTTTTCTCTAGACCGATTTACTTATGTCACATATCTGATTTTCGAATGGCTGAGTGGGCTTCTTAACCTTCTTATTTCGGATTTTGGTAGCAATGCGTCATTAGCGTCATTACACCATTAGCGGTCACAACATACTTATGTTTATGACTAAAATAAAACAACGAGAAATTTTTTTTTTTACTTCTATAATTTTTTTTAAGGCCGACTTGATAACATATAATATAATCTTATACAATTATTAGACTAATAATATGAATGTGAAGTATTAAGTAATCTCATGAGGGTTTTGCTTTTTAGTTAATCCTCATAACTGTGTTGAGCAGGTTGTTTCGATAAATTTGTTAACCAAGTGATGAGTTCTCTTATCGACTGCACATATGTTAGCGAAAATATTTATAGATACATGTCGATTCTGAAAATTAAAAAAAAACTTCATTAAACATCAACGAGGAGATAAACATACCTAATTCGATTAATTTATTACTATATAAGAATAATCAGATATTGATGAGAAAATATGATCTATCAAATTCTAAATTCATAATAGTTTCAAGGCATTACTATTCAAACGTTTTTAATTTACAAGTTTTAATTTACCAAACTTATTAAACTATTATTCAAGAACGATTATTATTTCCCTAAACAAATTAAGTAACTATTTTATAAATACAATTTAGTGGAATAAAATATAAATTAGTTAATCGACTTAAATTGCTTTAAAATAACAACGAATGGTAATGACTATTATTTATATATTTTTTCAGAAATAGTATTTTGCTAATTTGTTTAGGTACCTTTGAAACTGAAAAACATTTTTCGGTTATACGGTTGACTATACTTTTGTAACACGGAAACATATCCATGTTTAGTGGATAATGAGCTGGTCTCTCCAGTGTACCGATTTTTGCAGCAACTCCTGGCATTTCCTTTACAACTTTTTTGTAAATTTCGTTCATTATTTTATCGGCTAATTGTTTCTTCTATTACACATAAACAAACAAGCAGATATAAAATATATTTTATAAATTTCCTTCTAGCCTTATTTTTGCAACTTTTAAATCATGACTTATAAATGTAACTAGCAAATATATTATATGACTGATAAACTGATAATATGATATTAAATATGTATTGAAAATTGGGACAAATATAACTTTCATTAGTATAACAAATAGTCAAGTCTTTGATGTTAAACTTCAAAATTTTGACTAAAATGTTCTTGTGCTCACATCTTTTTTTTGACCAACTTCTTTTTTTAGTGATTTGCGTTTGATCGGGTCTTCGGTACCCAATAAATGGTGTTCCAAAACGTATTCGGCTACATCCTGTTGTCGTACTTTCGACTTAAAAAAAATAATTATTCATTTTTATTTTTATAAAATATTGTGCTATAGCTAAAGAAACATGTTTATGTTATACAATACGAGTATATATATCTCTTACATTTATTTTTAACGGATCCACTATGTTTTTCTTTTTGTTGTCAGAACTCTCGCCGTTGGGGAATCCTATGAACGACGATAGTTTTTCAAATCCTATGCTAAAGTCACCATAAAACATCACGTTACTATCATAAACAGCGGTCCGGGTCTCTTGGTAATCTTGGAAGACGGTTCTTATGGCGGCCGCAGTAGACGCTTCCTCGATCATCTGCTCAAAGTTAGATTAGATCAAGGTAACCAATAGTCATTCAAATTATAGCAAAACAGATAAACATCTCCCCAATCAAAGTCATCAAAAACACGTATAAATTAGATGAATTGAATCGCTTAATCTTTATCTATACTAAACATAATCATTATAATTTAAGCATTTTTTTTTAAGAGGTTACGTCTTGAGACTAGCATGTGTATAGTTTTTCTTCAATTCTTGTTCGACTATTTTTTTATAACTTATAAATTATAACACAAAGTTGTCAAATATCTCATATTCCAACAAAAAGCGAAATACCTTGTCCCAGTTTTCCAACCAAGATATACTGAATAAATCTCCCAGGCATGTGTTATATTCTGAGACGTAATATTCTGGCCATGTGTTATCTCTAGGACCAAACCCAGTGATGGCTAAAACTGAAAATCACCAAAAAAGTAGTTAGACATGTCATGTTAAGGTTTTTTCAATGTTTGAAATTTACTCGATTCGTCGTCATCGAGCAATCCGTCGAACATTGAACCCGAATAATAAGCGTCAACGTACAACAGGATCTGAATACAATAATATTGCATACAATTATGACCATAAATCAACTGAATTTATTTCTTAAGAATGATTTTCACTTTTCCATATTTTCGGCGAATGTACATCTCCTTAAGGGTGTTGATCAGTTCGTCAGGATACAACTCCTCTTCCTCTGGGAAGTACAATATGTCGGGATCGCCGAGACCGACAAAGTTAATGAAAACATTATCATATGGACCACTATATCAGGGAACAAAACGAGTGATTATAAAAAAAAGTTGGGTCCAACCCATTAAAACCCTTAAAGAGGCCTTTGATCACTAGCCTTTAATCGGTTCTTGGGTAAAATACTTAACGGCAGTCGTTTATACTTTTTACGTTAATGCAGAACGCGTTAAGAAATGTTTTTTCTTTGGATCTACTATAGTAATCGATAAATGCACCTCTTTGCTTAAATACTAGTCAAAGTGTAATTTTCCTGGATTTTTTGATATACAAGGAAATTGTATATGTTATAACCTCATAACGGATCTACTTTCAATATAATTTTTAGACCTCAAGGCGAAAAACTTTGACCTAAAATGAGAAATAAAGAAAAGTTCCTACACCTTTTAGAGGAATTGGTTTGTGATATTTTTTTGGTTTCTTAAACTTTATAGATAGTACGTTATTTATAGAATATTCCATACCAATTTAGGAATAATCTGACTAGTTTTAAAAACAAATATAGCGGGTTTTCGTTTTTTAAAAAAATATGTTAGGCGTTTCTCTCGATTTTGAAGTGGTGAACTTTTGGTTGGGCTAATAAAGTACCTTTTAGATAAGATTTTTTATTTTTGGAGTTGCGACATGAAAAAATCGGTTTAGCGATTTAGAGGATATGGTGGGTTCAGACAAAATATATCATTGTAAAACAATACCTTCTCAGCTACGCATCAAAGCTAATAAAACATATTTCAACCCTTTCAAGCGTTTACAGAATTTAGGTACAAAAAAATGTTACTCAAGACTACACAGATTTGGTTGCTTACATTTTATGGAACCCTAACATTACTTTAAAGAATTTGAACTTACTAAGTCCCTATCTACCCTGATAGTACCGGCAGTCCTAGTTCCGAATCGATTATACTCGTACTTGTTTTTTTTATTTAACTTATCTTATACGTACCTTTCAAGTACTCTCCCGGATCCAATTCCCGACAGTGAACTTTTGTCACCTTTGAGAACACTGAGGAAGTTATCCTTCGTTATGTTCTGTATTAAGTAAAGCAACCATATAATTATTCATATAGAACATACAATCATATTAAATTACAAATGAACTAAATATTGTAAAGAAAACAAGAATAAAAACAAACATTTTAAATAGGAATGAAAAAATATCGGGATACTTTGTTGAGACATTTTATTACTACCTACTAAAAAATGAATGGTATAGTAAAGTCATAAGAACATGTTTTAAATTTTACAGGAACCACGTTAAAATAATTTATAACGCTATAAGGTGTAAAGAATAATATACACAATTGTAATAAATGTCTATGTCCTCTAGTAGTAAAAGTAAGGATGGGAGTACTTCATTATTTGTACAAAACGAGTTAATAAAATTTGCCAGAAATAGTGCGTTTGTAACATTATAATGCAATTGATATGTCGTTTTTATTAAATAAATTGTTTTATATGTAAGAACTCACATATCCTTCGTAATCGATTTTGATACCTTTGTATACATCTTTTCCGTTGGGCTTATTGATCAATGTTCCTGGTGCCGGATTACTATGTAGAAAAAACAAGACAATTAATTAATATTTTAAAAATTTGTTATTAAATTGTTTGAATAATGATTGCTATTACTTTATATGATTTACAACATCATTGGCCATCATCACGATGATATTTTCTTCAGGAATTCCATTTCTTCTAACGACTTGGTAAGCATGTGCCACATCCGCCTAACAAAGATTTGATCGCGTTAACAATTATATAAAACCACACTGTTAACAGACTTGCATGTTAAACAATTTAACTATCACAAAATTTTTATATTTCTATCTAAATAATTGGTAATAACATTTTAATATAAAAGGTACCTGATGTCCATAATTTTCCCAGCCATTTGAACCGGCCACTAAAACAACCCAATTTGTTCCAAAAAAAAAATCGTCTTCCTCATAGTCGTATAATGATCCTTGAGATCCAATTGCCAAGAACAATATCAAATACAAACTGTGAAGGTCTAAAATCAAAATCAAATATTGAACTTTAAATGATTTAAATTAAATTTCATTTTGCCAGTATTAATAATAATATTATAATACTAATATATATAGTAACTATGAATATCATATGAAGTATAGATAGCCAAAAAATATGAATATAACATATTTTTTTAAATGTTAGAATTATAGCATAATATATACTACCAAAATAATATACACTACCTAACCTAATCGAAATACTACCATCACGACTAAATATAATGCTATTTTAATATTTGTTTTATATATTTCCATTAATCGTCTTTAGTAATAACGTTTACATGGTTAGTTTAGATACTATTTTTAAAAAGGTAATGTATATTAAAAGAATAGAAAAAGTATAAAATAAAATACAAAACTCTAAATCAATATTTCATGTGCTTGGATATTCAAACGGCTTGATGCATCGCTATGTAATAATTATATATGTTTAGTACTTACTCATTACGTTTTATCCGGTAACAATAAAACTCTTTGAAAGTCGAATGTTGAAGACTAATTACAGACTAATGTTAAGCCGCATGCACCAAAGCATTTATAACACAGAACTCAGATATCTCAAGAACCCGTTAAACATGTTGTAGTTCTTATCGACAAGTATGTACAGAAAGATAAAATTCAAAAATTAGGCAAGTTTCACGTATCTTTAGACGTTTGTTCACCGTTACATTAAATCACACAGATGAGTCTTTTCGTAAACTTAAAAGATAAGACTAATATTCTGTTAAATACTATATAATGGTAAAATTGTTATTTTGAAACTTGATAACTCAAAATTTATTCTGAAACTTATTTTGATAAATAATAATTGTATTTATTTATTTAATATATTTTACGGTTTAATCGCAATTTTCGCAGAACAGGTCGATTGCTAAATCAATATAATTCGATGCAATCTAACTATTCCAAGTAATTATAATCTTCAACAAAAACTCAACAGTGAAAACGGTGAAGTTCCAGACCCCCTCCCAAAAAAGTCAGCCTATCAAAGTACAAAACAGACTTGGCCACAATGTAAATACCATTACTTTGATTGGCTGACTTTTTCCCTTTAGTTACACTATAAGACCTGCCTTTGTGCCAAATTTCACGTTTCTACCTATTCGAAATGTGTTCTATAACTTTGATGATGAGTGAGTCAGTCAGTCAGTAACAAAAATTAAAACTTTAAAATTCTCCCATTTTGAAAAAACTCACTATTAAGGGCTCAAATTTTACAGTATCCTAAGCTACTCGTGCTTAATTTATGTTTCAAATTTCAGAAGCTTATCTTAAGAGGAAACATAGATATGTGGGTTAGAAAAACTGGGTGAATTGGTTCGTGTAAAGATACACTGACATTGCTGGAACTTGGCCTGGCGGTCTGCCGTACGCTCAGATATTCTAAGAAAAAGTTTTATATTAACTCTCTTATAATTTGAATTCGCTAAGACGTAATTTTACTGAATGACTACATATAATATCAAAGGAGAACTTTCACAAAAAAATTGTAATTTAAGTGTTAATATCCATAAACAATTTTTTTTCAAATTCTAAAGTAGCTAAAAATAAACTTTTTGAAAGTGGATAATTTTATGAAAATTTGGACTTGCCGATTACCAGATTTGGATAATTTAACTATTACATTTTTTAGTTTAACAGGTCGATTGCTAAATCAATATGATTCGCGGTGAAATCTAACAATTCCGAATAATTATAATATTCTGAGAAAAGTAATTTATACTTACTCTCTTATAATTTGAATTGGTTAAGACGTAATTTTTAGATATGGCCTATGACTAACTACTGAAAGCCACTGACAAATAATAATATTATAACTTAATAGTGTCCAGAACTCAATTCTTTATACTGATTTTCATCTTCGATATGTTGCTAAGAATGAGTGACTTTTTTTTTCTCTGGGCCGATTTACTCATGTCACATATCTGATTTTTCGAATAACTGAGTGGGCTTTTTGTTTCCTTGTCAACCCCGTATCGCTGACGGTCCAGGTCTAACTTCAGTCACCTTTTTCTTAGTATTTCGGCATACTATTGTAGTATATAGTAATAGTAGAATATAGCCATAAGAAAATAAATTAACAATAAAAATTTTATAGTATTTATTTAACGTGGATCTGTATGAAAAAAACGCTAATTCAACGATATGTCCATGTGAACTACATTATTTTAATTTAGGTTAATCAAAATTATATCGGTTGTTTTTACTTTTTAAGGCAAATAAAAAAGAATATCGAGAGATATTTCCTAGTCCATATTGGAAGGGAACAATTGTACTTGCTCTTACGTTATTTTAATTTTTACTATCCATTTGTTTTATTTTATATGACTTAATTTCTGCGTGTTTATTGTAATCGTTTTCGAAGTAGCATTACTTTTGTATGTTTAGTTTAAAAGCCTCAACCTTACCACTGGCACATGCATTATCTTATGGTTCACTTTTAAGTAGAGCAACTATAAGTAACTATAATTGTTTTGGATATAGTCTTTAACCTCTAAGGTTCCATATTACAGATGTAGCCATTAGTCCAGATTTAAACATAATTAGACATAGTCCGTAATATTGACTAACAATCGTATTAGCAAGTAGTGGCTAATTATCATTCTAGTTTGGGTTAGTGTTCTAGTTAGTACTTCAATTTATGGTTTATTCTCTGCTTGATATTACTTCTAAGAGTCATAGGTTTTTTAATATCGTCAGCCTATTTAGCAAAAGCCGTATCCCCGAAAAAATCAATTTTTGGTATATAACACTATTTTAATGACTATTTCAAGATTACTAATTACGCAGATTTTTGGTAGCAATGCGTCATAAGCGTCGTTACATCATTTGCACTTACCACAGACTAATGCTTAAATGATTAAAATAAAACAACGAAAAAATTATTTGTTTTACTTCCATAATGATTTTTAAGGACTTGTCTTGATAACATCTAATATAATCTTATACATTTATCATAGTGATACTATAGAATGTAAAATATGAATAAAGTATTAGGTAATTAAATGTGGATTTTGTAATTAGTTAATCCTCATAACTGTGTTGAACGCATTCCATGTTGACAGGCTACATCGATAAACTTGTTAACCGAGTGATGTGCTTTCTCATTGACTACGCATATGTCTGCGAAAATATTTATCTGTACTTGTCGATTCTGAAAATGATAAAAAAATACTCCATCAAAACCCAGCGAGTTGAAACAAATACCTAATTTTTTTTTTAATTTATCACTTTATAGATGATATAATTGCACATTAATTAAAATATATTATCAATACAATTCCAGGCTCATAATAATTACATTAATTTTATTAAATAGTTCTTTACTTACAGGGTGTTGATTTACCAAACATAGCTATAAAATGAGTATTAAGCGTTAACCACCTCACATGAACGATTGTTATTCACTAAAATGAAAAGGATATTCATTTACCATTAAGAAATCGTTTAATAGAACAAATGACAAATGTTAATGACTTTTCCTTTTAAAGCATTTGAAAGTAAGATTTCCTAAGCTGAGTAGATACTAAGTTTACATTAAAAAAATGAAGTTATCAGACTTTTTTAGTTATCTAACTAATAAATTACTAAAATTAATTTCGTAAATTAGTCAACTCTGACTATTTAATTTCTTACCAGATATTATAGAATATTATAAATTTTTTTTATATCTTTGAAACTAAAAAACATTTCTCGGATATGCGGTTAACTATACTTCTGTAACACGGGAACATATCCATGTTAAGTTTCAAATAAGCTGATTTCTCCAGTGTATCGATTTTCGCAGCAACTCCTGGCATTTCTTTTACAACTTTTTTGTAAATTTTGTTCATTATTTTATCAATAAAATGTTACATCTGTGACACAAAACCAAACGAACAGATATAAAATATATTTTATAAATTCTTTTTAGACATATTTTTGCAACTTTAAAATTATGACTTATAAATGTAACTAGCAAATATGGGTTAATATGACTGATAAACTGATATTATGATATTAAATTTGTATTGAAAATTGAAGACGATCACTTTCATCAAAATCAACAAATATTTAAGTCTTTACTGTTGAACTTTAAAAGTTCAATGATGTATCCAATGTATATAGTGAAGTACAGTTATAATTTATTATTTAGCAATGACATTCTCATGGAACTTTAAAATGTTGGCTCATGAATGTATCTAAAGATTATAAAATGATATTATGTTTGTATTGATAATTCGGACAAAGATAATTTTCCTAGTTAAATCTTTACTAATATACTTCAAAAGTTCAATGGTTTAGCCAATATGTAAAGCAAAGAACGGTAGTACGGATAACAATTAAGCACTTGTCACCATACACCATCACGTTACTATTATAAACAGCAGTCCGGGTCTTTTGGTAATCATTGAAGACCGTTTTTTTGGCGGCCGCGGTAGATTCTTCCACGATCATCTGCTCAATGGTTGTTTAGATTAAAATTGTTAACAGTATACATTATCTATACTATACATTATCATTTTTATTAAAACATTTTTTTTTTTTTGGTTTCGAAGAGATTACTTCTTGAGATTAGAATGTACAAAGTTTTTCCTCAATTATTGTTCGATCGTTTTCTAACTTAATTATAACACAAAGTTGATAAATATCTTATAGTCCAGCCAAACGCTTATACCTTGTCCCAGTTTTCCATCCAAGATATACCGAATTCATCTCCCAGACATGTGTTATATTGTTCGTCGTAGTAGTATGAGGTATCCCATGGGATTTCCCTAGGGCCAGTCGCAGTGATGGCAAGTACTAAAAATCGACAAAAGGCAGTTAGACATATCGACGGTTAAGGTTTTTTTTAATATTTTTGAAACTCACTCGATTTATTGTCATCGAGCAATCTGTCAAACATCAAACCCGAATAATAAGCATCTATGTACAACATCATCTGAAAACAATAATATATAATATACAAAATACAACCATAAATCAACTGAATTAATATAATTTTAATGATTTTTACCTTGGAATATTTTCGACGAATGTATAGCTCTCTAATGGTACTGATCAGTTCGTCAGCATACATCGGCTCTTCCTCTGGGAAGAACACTACGCCGGAATCGCCGTCACCGACGAAGTTAATGAAAATATTATCATGTTGACCGCTGTATCAGGAAATAAATCGAGTGATGGTAAATAAAAAATAAAAATAAATATATCATATCATAGGTTGACTCTTTCAAGCCTTAACAGGGTTAGGTACAAAAAAAAACCGAGCTCGGGAACTACATTGATTCGTTTTTTTATATTTCTGGGAGCCTATAAATACTTTAAAGGATTTAAATTTACCAAGCTCCTTGATAAAGCCCCCAAGCTCTACCCTAATAGCACCGGAGATTTTAATTCGAAGCAATAAGTTCATTATTATTTTATTTAACGTATCTCATACGTACCTTTCGACTACTCAGCCGGATCCAATTCTTGACATTATACCTTTGTCGCCTTTGAGAACACTGAAGAAATTTTCTTTTGTTACGTTCTGAATTTACAAGTAGAGCAGCATTTAATTATTCATTTAGAACATACAATTATATTAAATTACAAATTAACTAAATATTTTAAAGAACACAGGAATAAAAATAAAAATGTTTAATAGGAATAAAAAAGATTGAATTAATTTCATTGAAAAATTTTGTTATTAACCAAAATATTAATTGAATAGAAATATCATAAATGCCTGTTTTTAACTATGAGTAACATTCTTTTATTACTTGTACAAAACGAGTAAATACCAAATTTGGCCGAGATATAAAATGCAACAAATTTTTTTATAGGTAAGTACTCACATATCCTGCGTAATCGACTTTGATACCTTTGTATACATCTGCTCCGTTGGGCTTATTGATCATTGTTCCTGGTGCCGGATTACTATGTAGAAAAATCAAGACAATTAATTAATATTATAAAAATATGTTATTGAATTTTTTTAAAAATTAGTTGCTATTACCTAGTGTGATTTACAACATCATTGGCCATCATCACGATGATATTTTCCTGAGGAATTCCATTTCTTCTAACGACTTGGTAAGCATGTGCTACATCCGCCTAACAAAGGTTTGATCCCGTTTACAATTATAATATAAAACCACATAGTTAGTTACATGTTGACAAATATAAGTATCACAAAATGTTTATATTTTAATGTAAGATAATGGTAAAAAAAAAATATCATAGTTTTGTAGTTACTTGATGCCTATAACTTTCCCAGCCTTCTGAACCGGCCACTAAAACAACCCAATTTTTTCTTGAAAAAAAATGACCTTTCACATGATCGTGTAAAGATCCTAGAGACTCGATTGCCAACAAAAAAAGCAAACCCAATCTGTGAAGTTCTAAAATAAACAGCTTGATGCATTGTCATATAATAATTATATATGTTTAGTTCTTACCCATTTTGTATTAGCCGCTAACAATACAACTCTCTTTGAAAATCGAATGTTGATGCGCCTACAGACTATTGTTAAACCACATGCACCGAAGCATTTATAGCACAGACATCTGATGACTCAAGAACCCATTGAACATATTGGAATTCTTATCGACAAGTATATGCAGAAAGATTAGATTCAAAAAGTATTAAGATATAATATATTATTGTGAAATCATTATTTTGTGACTCCAGTTTTAAGTACCTAAACGTATACGTTGTATAAATTACGGTAAATAGTAATATATTCAGAATTGGTTCAAACATTAGTATGTAAACAAGACATTGATTTGAAGTTTTTGTCTGTGAATTATTTTGTTTACAGAACGTTATAGTATTAAGTTGTTGATACTTTTATGGCTCAATTGCTCCTAAGTCAATTTATTTTATATTACATTTTATATTGATTTTGATTTTTAGGGGGTAGGTCCTATTTAGTCCTAGAAAGGTCACTAGGGGGCGCATGACATTTCTGCCATGCAGCCAGAGAGGTGTTGGCGGCTCGTTTTGACAGGAATAATTTTGTGATTGCAAGGAAGCATGTGGCCCAGGGGCGAACCTGAGACAGTGAGACCTAGCACACTTACACTCTACCCACCATCCTCCTCCTCCTCACTCCCAAGTCGATGTTCGTGCATATGAGTAAAAAAATAAACAACGAGACAAGTTCTCATGGCTATGGTAAACTAGTGTTTTTAATGATACAGGATAAAAATATTAAGACGCTTAAAATAGTTCGCATGAATATTTTACAAATTATTACTAATTATAGCCAAGGCTAGCGATAGACTAGGTCACTGAGACTAACTACTGTGAGCCACTGATAAATAGTAATATTATGACTTGATAGTGTCTAGAACTTGTTATTTATATATACTTTTTTTAATGATTTTTAAATTTGATGCGTTACTACGAGTGAGAGACACTTATTCAGATCATATATCTGAGTTTCATTCAGCTTACCATACACTTACTATTAGTCGACCATAGCATTTATGGCTTAGTATAACATATATTTGCGAGATGTTGTGCCTCGTTTTAGAGATTATCAGTGACGATTTGAGTTGCCTGAGAAGCTTATGGTTACTTATGAGTTACCTATCATAATTAACCCTAATATGCTGCGATGAATAAACGATGGAAACATTTCGTTGTTAGAAAAAAAATGGTCACAGTGATTGCTCTGCGATAAGTGTCCAGGTTGGATATATAAACCCATTACTTGTCTATGCTCAAAATATTTTCACAAGAGTGACCGATTTAATGTAAAATCTCTACATAAGTTAAGTCAATAAGCTTTCAATCATCATCGGATTTCTTGGTTTATTTCGATATTTTATTTTTATTACGCTTTTTTTTATAACTCCCAAAAATATTTATGTTATTACTAGTATACAACTTTGTAAATAATATGAACACTTACTCCTAATTTTGGACAATGTACTAGTAATTTTAAATCGCTAATTGCCGAAAACCTACAAGTCCACGTTTTCTAATTGTTTATTAAAGCCAAAATCCTAAATATTGACAAAACTTTTTTCTGTCGTAAACTGTAACTTCTAAATCTTTACTTTATGTTTGGACAGTTTGATTTAACTCTGTTTAAAATTAAATTCGATAAAAATGGAATTATTTCCTTACTGCAGTTAGTAGTTCATTTATTTGAGGGATAAACAATTTTTTACAGAATTTTAATTTTTAGTTAAAAGTAACATGCAGTCTATGTTATGTAAAGGTTTTAACTAGTGATTTATTTCTATATCAAGTTCAAATTCAAGTATGGGAAAAGAAAAAAAAATAGTTATAGTGACTTTTTTTTTAACGTTGTGTATTTTTATTATTATATTAACTAAAATGTGATTTTACGCTTTACATGATATTACTAATGAGAATCTGTTCTTAGTTTTTTATTATGTTACTTTTGTAGGAAAAACTTAAGCAACATTAAAACAAAGAAATACTTTATTTTTTAAGGATTACATGAAAACATATAATAAAACCGTATACAATTATTCTACAAATATTTTGAATGTAACATGAATAATGTATAATGTGATCACATGATGATTTGTCTTTTTAGTTAATCCTCATAACTGTGTTGAGCGCATTCCATGTTGACAGGCTACATCGATAAACTTGTTAATGAAGTGATGTGCTTTCTCATTGACTACGCATATGTTAGCGAAAATATTTATCTGTACTTGTCGATTCTAGAAATTAAAAAAAACACTATATAAAAACCCAAAGGGATGATAAAAATACCTAAATTAATTTTTTTTTTATTATACAGATATAATCGGATATTGATTGAAAAATATTATCTATCGAATTCCAAATTCTTATTAATACAAATTTACCCCGTGTGCGTTGTAAGGGTTAATAATCAATTTTCGATCAATGAGTTTTAAGTTTTTCAGATTTTTAAACAATAAAGTGATTATGCTATAATTGTTATAAGGCATTTATCATTTTAGAGTTTATATTATTGCGGTTCAACTAAATAGAAACAATTTTTTTTTTTACAATAACAGATGTTATTAAGGGTTTGCCAGATTTTAACATTTATTTTTTCAAGAACTTGACGTACTAAGACATTTTTGAAGACAGAGTAAGATTCCAAATGAAAAAAAATGTATCGAACAAGATTGATTTCATCCTTTGGGTTTTGTACCCACCCTAAATATTGTCGAACCATGTGACCTAATCAGATTAGGTCACATGGTTCGAAAAAACTTTAGTTTTGAAAACCAAATTTGAATAGGCTAAACAATTATTGAAATTAACTTTATAACTTTGTAAATTTTGGTTCTTTCATTATTTATCAGTTATAATATTTTGATAATTTGATTAGGTACCTTTAAAAATGAAAAACATTTCTCGGATATGTGGTTAACTATACTTCTGTAACACGGGAACATATCCATGTTAAGTTTTAGATGAGCTGGTTTCTCCAGTGTACCGATTTTCGCAGCAACTTCTGGCATTTCTTTAACAACTTTTTTGTAAATTTCGTTCATTATTTTATCGGCTAATTGTTTCTTCTATGACACATAAACAAACAGATATATAATATATTTTATAATTTCCTTCAAGACATAATTTTACAATTTTTGATTTATGACTTATGAATGTAACTGTCCATGATAACATTGTAAAAATTAACAAATATTCTGAATCTTATAAGTTTATTAATAATCTTTATAAGTTCAAAGGTTTAGCCAATATGTAAAGCAAAGTGCGGTTGTAATGACTAAGTAGTTCAATGACTGACATTCTCATTTACTCACATTCTTCTTGTGACCAATTTCTCTACTCAGTGATTCTCTTTTGATCTGATCTTTAGTATCTATTAACTGGCGTTTCAAAGCGAATTCGGCTACATCCTGTTGTCGTACATTCAACATAAAAAATATATACATATATTTATTATTTACTATGACCAACGAAACATATTTGTATCACATAATATACATCACTTACACCGGTTTTTAACAGATTCAGTACTTTGTTCGTTTTGCTCGCAGAACTCTGGCCGTATGAGAATCCTATGAAAGAGGATAGTTTTTCAAATCCTAAGTGGAAGTCACCATATATCATCACGTTACTATCAGTAACTTTAGTCCGGGTCTTCTCGTAATGTTTGAAGACCGTTCGTGCGGAGGCCTCCTTAGACGCTTCCACAATTACCTGCTCAAAATTAGATTACATCAAGGTAACCAACAGTCATATGAATTACAGCGAACAAAAAAATATTTCTCCTATCAAAGTCGATAAAAACACTTCAAAGACGACCCCCACTGTGCTGTGTTTTACGTTATTTTAAAAATTTAAACAGTATAAATTAGGTAAATTCAATCGTTCATACTATACATTATCATTTTCATTACTATTTTTTTTTATTTGGAAGACATTACGTCTTGAGATTAGCATGTATACAATTTTTCCTTAATTTTTGTTCGACCGTTCGCGTTATACCTTGTCCCAGTTTTCCATCCAAGATATACCGAATTCATCTCCCAGGTATGTGTCATATTGTTCGTCGTAATAGTATGTATATGCGTTCTCCCTAGGACCAGCCGCAGTGATGGCCAAAACTAAAAATCGTCAAGAAAGCAGTTAGAAATATCGGTGGTTAAAGTTTTTTTCAATATTTTTTAAACTCACTCGATTTATTGTCATCAAGCAATCCGTCGAACATTGAACCCGAATAACAAGCGTCAACGTACAACAAGATCTGAATACAATAATATTGCATAAAAATACTACCATAAATCAACTGAATTTATTTCATAATAATGATTTTCACCTTTTCATATTTTCGACGAATGTACAGCTCTTTAAGAGTTCTGATCAGTTCGTCGGCATACAATGGCTTGTTTCCTGGGAAGTACACTACACCGGACTCGCCGTCACCGACGAAGTTAATGAAAATATTATCATGTGAACTGCTGTAATAGGAAATATATCGAGTGATTGTAAAAATAAAGTTAGTACAGAAGGGTCAGGTCATACTGGAACGGAGAAGGTCACAGGTCTTAAAGGTTTTTTTGAAATTATTTAAAAAAAAACACTCGATGGGCTGTCAATAATGTGCTTAACATTTTTATTATTAGAGTAGATAGGTACGTGTAGGTTGCTCTCCTGTCTATAATACTTGGTGATTCAACATAGCAACCAAAAAATGTACTACTGTCAAAGTATAATTTTACCCGTATTTTTTTTGAGTTTTGCTCAGATATTATATCGAGAAAATTGTAAACGTTATAGCCTCACACAAGATCTAATTTCAGTCTAATTCTTAGACCTTATAAGGCCTAAAAGTTTAAACGAAAATAAGAAATAACGAAGAAGGTTCTACCCGTTGGATAGTACGATTCAATTTGACTAGTTATAAAAAACTATAGCGTGCTTTCATTTAAGGTTGAAACATTTTTTAGGGGTTTTCTCGATTTCGAAAAAGAAGGGGTTAAATTTTCAAATATTTGACCTAATAAAGTACCTTTTATGATTTTTTATCTATAGAGGTACGACATGATGATTATTCAGCCAAGTCCTTTGTACCCTTATTGCACAAACAGTCTTAAATTAGGAACGATTATGCTCGTTATTATTTTATTTAAAGTATCTCATACGTACCTTTTGACTACTTTGCCGGATCCAATTTTCGACATTTTATGTTTGTCGCCTTTCAGAACACTGAGGAAATTTTCCTTTGTTACATTCTACATTGAAGTAAAGCAACAGTTGAATTATTTATAAAGAACATAAAAATTTTCAAGATAACAAATTTTAGGAGAAAACCAGAAATAAAAATAAAAGTTTTTAATAGGAATAAAAAATGTATTTTTTTTTTTTTTTTAGAAATGAATTACTTCCCAAAATATGAATGGTAGTGTAAAGTCATTCGAACATGTTTTTTAATTTTACAGAAACAACGTTTAAAATGTAAAACGCCATAATGTATAACATACTCATTATAATAAAAGTTTATGTCCTCTAAAAGTAAAACTATATATATAGAAGTTTTTTATTATTTGTACAAACAAGTTAATACATTTACTAACTCATTTGCGAAAAATAATGCACTTGCAACATCACAATTCAAGTAATATGTTGTTTTTATTTATAAAAGTTTTTAGTTAAGTACTCACAGATCCTGCGTAATCGATTTTGATACCTTTGTATACATCTGTTCCATTGGGCTGATTAATCAATGTTCCTGGTGCCCAATTACTATGTAGAAAAAACGAGACAATTAATCAATATTATAAAAATATGTTATTGAATTTTTTTTAAATTAATTGTTATTACCTTGTGTGATTTACAACATCATTGGCCATCATCACGATGATATTTTCTTCAGGAATTCCATTTCTTCTAACGACTTGGTAAGCATGTGCCACATCCGCCTAACAAAGATTTGATCGCGTTAACAATTATATAAAACCACAGAGTCAACGGACTTACATGTTGACAGATTTAACTATCAAAAAACGTTAATATTTAAATGTAAACTAATGATATAAATATTATAGTTTAGTAGTTACCTGATGCCTATAATTTTCCCAGCCATCTGAACCGGCCACCAAAACAACCCATTTTTTTCCTAAAAAAAAATTTCCTTTCACATAGTCGAGTAAAGATCCTTGAGACCCGATCGCCAACAATAAAATCAAACACAATCTGTGAAGTTCTAAAATAAAAATATGGTATTGACATTAAAATAAATTAGTTTTAATACAAGTTTATCATTAATATAAAAATATGTAAATAAATAATAATAATAATATGTAACAATAAAGTTAAATGTATAAATACAGCCATCACGACCAAATATTATGTTATTTTAATATTTTTTTATATCGGTGTTAATAACATTTCGCAATGACATTTACATGATTAACTTAGATAATTTATTAATAAGGAAATCATTTGATACAACCGGACATATTTATAAAACTTATGATTACAACTTACATCTATACTTAAAAATTTGCTTTTCCTTTGTAAGTAGAGGTGTAATTACAAGCCTATGTAACCATTTCATACAAACTTCAACCACATTTATGTACACATATTTCTTCCAAAAAAATAACTTAAAAATTACAATCACTTTTAAAAAAAAACGTGGCTTATGTTAGGTTAAATTAACAGGATCAACATGTATGCTTCATTTAAAAATAAAACTCTAATTAAATAATACTACTCATAATTTATGTTGTGACTTGTGAGAATAGCTTTTTAAATAATGCATTTAAGTTGTTATGTGGTTAGATATACAAACGGTTTGATGCATTGTTATGTGAGAATTATATTTGTTTAGGTCTTACCCATTTCGTTTTATCCGGTAACAATACAACTATCTTTGGAAATCGAATGTTGATGCGCCTACAGACTATTGTTAAACCACATGCACCGAAGCATTTATAACACAAACGTCTGATGAGTCAAACACTCTTTGAACATTTTGGAATTCTTATCGACAAGTGGGTACTGAAAGATTAAATTCTAATAGTAGGCAAGTATCTCGTATATCTTTAAACGTTTACTCACTATTACATGTCACTCAGGAGAGTCTTTTCGTAAAAAAAAATTAACTTTGTAGACAACACTTATATTCTATTAAGTAGGTAATATATAATTGTGAATCATTATTTTTAAACTTCAGTTTTAAGTACTTAAATGTTTAATCTCAATTACCTACCACAGCATAGATCGATCGCCAACTCAATACAATTCGGTGCAATCCAACTATTCCGAGTAATTATAATATTAAAAAAAAAACAGTTTTACTAAAAAAATAAAGACGTTTAATAAAGTTTACAAGAATATTTTACACATTATTAGTAATTAAAGCCAATGCTAGCGATAGACTAGGCCACTGAGACTAACTACTGTGAGCTATTAACAAACAATAATATTATGACTCGATAGTGTTTAGAACTCGCTACTTTTATACACTTTTTTTACTGATACTTTAAAATTTTAACTATAGATTCTTATACACATTTAGGTACGTTAGACCTATCTTCAGACTAGTTTTTAACATTAAAAAAAATCGGTGTTACGGACACAAAAATAAACAACATTGTAAGTATAAAAACTTTCAGCATCGCATCAATACTAAAAATTATCATAGTCAGTTATAATTACTTTTTTGTTTTTATGTTATCTAAAATAATAATTTCGTGGTTTTAAGCTCTACTTTCTGTTTGAAGTTGTTTTGTATAATCTTATACATCTAATATAATAATACTACGAATGAAGGAACGGATACAAGGGAGGGAGTGGCTTTGGGAGCTTATGTCCCAAATTATTATATTTGAATATTATAGATTTTTTTACTGTGTAAACGTTAACTGTGACTACTACATACATGTATTTTAAGTGTATTCCCTCCCTTTTTTCAATTCTATATTAGCCTTTGAAGGAATGTAAAATGAATAAAGTAAATTAGATAATTATTATTTATTAGGTAATCACATGAAGGCTTTGTTTTTTAGTTAATCTTCATTAATGTTTTGAGCGCGTTCAATGTTGAACATGTTACATCAATAATTTTGTTAACCGAGTGATGTGCTTTCTTGTCGACAACGCATATATTACCAAAAATAGTTATCTCTACTTGTCGGTTCTGAAAATGAAAAAAAAAACACTTCATGAAACGTCAGCGAGGTAATAAAAATACCTAATTGTATTAATTTATTACTATATAGTCATAAGAACTAACTATTAAAAAATGCTTAACTATTACTGGTTTTTCCCCCCCAAATTTAGCTATATGCTAAATGTTACTTTAAGCTAAATACTTTTAAATAAAATTAAATAAGAATCAGTTCGGACTGTAATAATAAGTATTAAGAGAAGTATGACCTTAAATAAATAGGAGGAATAGAGTTAAATAGGATTTTGTGACAATTTTATTAAACAAAAATAAATTAACTAATCAGAAAATAATCTAAATTATTAAATAGCCTAACTCTGCTTAGAAAAAAATGACGAATGTTATTGACTTTTATTTATTTAACATTTAAAAATGCTGCGTTTACTTTTTAAATAGGTACTAAGTTGTTAGACAGACTTATTTTCATTGACCTAATCGATTATTAAAATTAGGTTTGTTACTTGGTCAACTTTAAATATTTAAACAGATATAGTTTTTTACTAATTTGCTTAGGTACCTCTGAAACTGAGAAACATTTGTCGGTTATACGGTTGACTATACACTGAAACATATCCATGTTTAGTGGCAAATAAGCTGGTTTCTCCAGTGTACCGATTTTCGCAGCAACTCCTGGCATTTCCTTTGCAACTTTTTTGTAAATTGCCTTTATTATTTTATCGACTAATTGTTTCATCTATGACACATGAACAAACAAACAGATATAAAATATATTTTTTTAATTTCCTTCTAGCTTTGTTTTTGCAAATTTTTAAATTATGATATAAATGTAACTGTCGATGATAATATAATAAAAATTAACAAATATTCTTAATCTTATAAGTTTTATTAATAATCTTTATAAGTTCAAAGGTTTAGCCAATATGTAAAGCAAAGTGTAGTTGTAGTGATTATGTACTATAACGACTAGCATTCTCATGTACTCACTTTCTTTTTGTGATCAATTTCTTTTTTCAGTAATTTTCTTATGATCGGGTCTTTAGTATTTAATATCTGGCGTTCCAAAGTGAATTCGGCCACATCCTGTTGCCGTACTACAGACTAAAAAAATGATTTTTCACTTTTATTTTTAAAAAATAATGTACTGTGGCTAACGAAACATATTTTTGTCACACAATATATATTGTGGATTGAGTATATTTTTCTTTTGGCTTGCAGAACTCTGGCCGTATGAGAATCCTATAAACGAGGATAGTTTTTCAAATCCAACGCTGAGGTCACCATACATGATTACGTTACTCTTAGTGACATTAGTACGGGTCTCTTGGAAATCTTTGAACAACTTTCTTGCCTTGGCTGCAGTAGTCGCTTCTACAATCAACTGTTCAGGGTTAGATTAGATCAAGACAACCAATAGTTATTCAAATTATAGCGAACAGTTAAACATTTTCTCCTTTAAAGTCGAATAAACCATTACAAAGTTGACCCCGCTGTGCTTGAACGTATTTTATACGTTATTTAAAAAATTGGTAACAGTAGAATTTAGGTGAATTGGATTGTTTACTATGTATCTTTATATACACTACGTGAAATACCTTGTCCCAGTTTTCCATCCAAGTTACACTGAATAAATCTCCCAGGCATGTACTATATTCTCCGCTATTACTGTCACAATAAGTTGCATATGAACTTTCTTGAGGACCAGACGCAGTGATGGCCATAACTGAAATCGTCAAGAATATTTAATTGGATATGTCGATTATTTTTTACGTTTTTTTTTATATTTTTAAAACTCACTCGATTTATCGTCATCAAGCATTCCGTCGAACATTGAACCCGCATGACAAGCCTCTATATAAAACACGATCTGAGGACAATATTATTGCATTAAGGGGTTTACATACGGTCTGTTTTTTTTAAGTTTTAGGCTAAATATCCAGAAAATCGTCGACTACTTAGGATGGTCCGATTATAATTCTGTAAGTTATTTGATAACTTCACAGGGTTATGTAAGAAACAGATTTTTTATATTTTGCTTTTTTGTAAAAAAAAAATAGGTTTTAATATTGAAAAAATTGCAAATTTAATTATTTAATTACAAGAGACGGACATTTTTAAATACAAATAGACTTCCAACATAACTTAGTAAAGTAGTCAAAGAACTCGAATCACTTACAGAATTGAAATTGGACCATCCTATGTAGTCGACATTTCGTCTGGCTTTTTGGTCTAAAATAAACCAAAATGGCTTTTACTCATAGAAAAAATGATTTAAATTAAAAATATTACCTTGTAGCTTACACAAGTTAACCGTTAAGTTAAATGACATCGTTGTAATCTATAAAAGCCTATTTTTCTTAAATATTTCCTTTATAAAACTCTTTAAAAACAGACCGCATGCAATCCCCTTAAATAAGACCCTTAAATCGAATGAAATTATTTTATAATAATATTTACCTTTCTATATTTTCGTTGGTCGTACATTTCTCTGAAGGTTCTGATCAGTGTGTCGGCATAAAATAGCTTGGGCTTTGGGAAGTACAATGCGCCGGGTTGGCCGTGATCGACAAAGTTAATGAAAATATTATCGTGTGGACCACTGTATCAGGAAATAAAATGAGTGATTATAAAAAAAAGCCAGTACAGTGAGTTGGGGGCATAGTGAGGCCGGGGGTGGAGCAGATTGGTACGGGGGAGGCCATAGGACTATATACATTTTTTAAACTAAAATAATATCACCTTCAAATAAATGCTTCCACGCGTATCTGTAGATGCGTCAAATAAAAGGATTGTCAAAAATTGTGATTAACATTGTATTTTTAGTATTTGTGTGAATACGATTGGGGGGCCCCCTGTCTATAATACATTTTTGCCTTAGTTGCTTCTATTTCGTAAATTACAATAAAATGACATTTTTTTCCTAAGTTACTTGTAGCCTGTTGATTTCTTAATAACCTAGGAATTAGTCATATTTTTTACATTGACAAAAAAATAAAATACATCATTGTAAAAGCAATACCTTCTTAACTACACATCGAAACTAAAAAAAAAGTATTTTAACCCTTTCAAGCTCTTACAGAATTTAAGTACATAAACTCGTTATCTGGGAACTATACAAATTTAGTTGCTTACATTTTTTGGTAGCCTAAAACTTCATGAAAAATGTAAACTTACCAAGTTTCCTTCTACCCTGAGAGCACCAGTGTAGATTCTTAATTCGGTAACGATTATGCTCGTTATTATTTTATTTAGCGTATCATACACGTACCTTTCGACTACTTTGCCGGATCCAATTCTCGACATTTTACCTTTGTCGCCCTTGAGAACACTGAGGAAGTTATCCTTTGTTACGTTCTGCATTAAGAAAAGTAACCATAAGTTAAATGGTAACTATTCATAGATAACATGAAAATTATCATAGAATATAAATTAACTAATTATTGAAAGAAAACCAGAAATAAAAAATAATTTTAATAGGAAAAAAAAATATTTAGTTAATGGGACATTTTATTACTACTAAAATATTAACGGCATAGTGATGACACGAGAACATGTTTTTTTAATTTTACAGGAACAACGTTTAAAAAAAATGTAAAACGCGATAGCGTGTAATCTACACATTTTTAATAAATGCCTATGTTCTCTAGAAGTATAAATAGATCCTCTTTCATTACATTGAAATATGCATAACGCAATAAAGTATGAAAAGTTGTTCAATATAAATACAAAACGATTCAACGAATACATTTGTCCGAAATAGTACACTCACAACATCACAATGCAATTGATATGCTTTTATAGATAGTTTTATAATTTACTTTAAAAGTAAATAATTAAAATACGTGTATTAAAATGTATTCTGAGAGACTTACGTCACTGAATTTTAAGAACAATTTTCAAATTAAATAATAATATTAAACTTGGAACAATTTATAGTTAAACATTTTTCCCAAATGAAAACCTAAAAAATGACAATTACTTTTAGGAAAAACTTACTTTACGTTAGGTTAATTGGATCATACATTTAATTTGTCATGTGCTTGGATATTTAAGCGACTTGATGCACCATATATTGTAATGTAATAATTATATATGGTGCTACAGAATAATAGCTTAACCTAATTGATCAGTCAAAATTGTCAATAAGTTAGTAATTCAAGATAATTTCTTATATGTATACGTTATTATTTAGGAATAAAAGGTTGAGAACTAAAAAATGAAAATTATTTCGATGAAAAACGTTGCATATGTTAAATTAAGTCACTCTGTATGCTTAATCAAAAAACACAAAAATATAACTCTTGATTTTTATTGTGTGAATTGCTTTTTAAAAAATATATTTGAGCGGTCATGTGCTTGGATAATCAAACGACTTGATACATTGTTATTTTTTATGTAATAATTATGTACTCATAATGTTTAATAATGTTCTTACCCATTTCGTTTTTTCCGGTAACAATACAACACTCTTTGAAAATCGAATGTTGTTGAGGTTACAGAGTAATTTTAGACCGTGTGCACAGAAGCTTTTATAACACAGACGTCTGATGACTCAAGAACTCTTTGAACATTTTGGAATTCTTATCGACAAGTATGCACTGAAAGATTAGATTCAAAAAGTAAGCAAGTATCTTGTGTTTTATATCTTTAAACTTCTTCGTTTTCGTATAAAAATTTACCTAATAGATTACATTTATAAATTATTAACTAATAGATAATATTGTGAAACAATTATTTTGATATTTCAGTTTTAAGTACCTAAACGTATGTTTAATCTCAATTACCTACCACAGCATAGGTCGATCCCTAACTCAATACAATTTGGTGCAATCAAACTATTCCGAGCAATGATAATATTTACTCTATTTTAATTGGTTTAGACGTATTTACGTATGGTTATTACTAATTATTTTATTGTTATAGAATAACAAAATTAAGACTAATTGAATTTATTTTATAAATTATTAGTAATTATAGCCAAGGCTAGCAATATATTATAACAATAATATTATAACTTGATAGTGTTCAGAACTCGTTACTTTATATACTTTTGTTTTACTGATTTTTAACTTCAATTCGTTGCTTTGTGTTGTTAGAAAATAAGTTTAGAGTGACCGATCTCCGGTAAATGTCCAAATTGGATGTACAATCCATTATTTGTATATTTTTTAAATTTAAATATTTTCTGTATTAATATGTGTTTACTAGTATATAACTTTGTAAATAATAAGTACGCCTACTCATATTTTTGGGTATGTAAGCCAAGTGAAACATGTTTATAAGAGCCAAAAAAATAAGTATTGTCAAGACTCTTTTCTGTTGTAAACTTTAATTTCCGAACGCTATATTTGATGTTTGTACAGTCTAATTAGACTCCGTTTCTGGTGTAAACGATGTACTTGTGTATGCTCATTACAAACTGATAGTAAAATCAAAATTTATAAAAATGGAATTAGTTAATAGTAATGTGCATATTATTTTGTGTGCTGAATTGTCGCCAATTTGTAATATATATATATATATGCGGATAAAGGCATGCCTAATAAACATTCTGTAAGACTGTTGTCTTAATCCGACCGTTTACCGTTTCTGACAGTTACTATACTAAATCTATCCTAACTATCTTATTAGGTATAATAATAGACAATAGAAATATTACCTAGACTAGTAGACGACATTGTACATTTTAAAAAATATTTCATTTTTATTATAATAAATTACATAATTTATTGTTTTCATAACAAACATAATAAACAAATACATAATATGGAAAACAATAGATACAGTTATTTCAGTGACTTTTGACGGTAGTGCGATGTTGGACTAAATAGGAATATTTGGTTTTTCGCTGTTGGCAATACTGTTAGAACGTTAAAACGATATTCCTGTTTTATCCAATGTCTCATTACCGTCCAAAGTCAACCGAAATTACGGTATACATCATCATAATTCTTGTAATATATTACTTTGACTTCTTGGGTTTTCTAATGACTGAATTGGCTGCTTGATTTGTTTTCGAGCCCATGTCGCTGACGGGCCCAGGTCTAACCTGGGTTCAGTCATTTCTTAATTATCATCTTTTTATAGTAATTCGGCATACTATACACTTGCTGCTGGTCGACCCTGTCATTTATGTCTTAGCATAACATATGCTTGAGAGGTGTAAATGGTAACTGCATTCGCTCATTATGGAGTTCTTCAGCGATGGCTTCAAACTTGCAGAAGTTGTACTTGTGACTTATCTATCGTGATCGATTTTAACTTACTCATTGAATCAAGGTTAAAGTGGCCAATGTAAATAATATCTTTGATTATTCTCTACCGATACCACAGAAGACCTCACTACTGAACTGTTATTTCCATCCGGCTCAATACTTTGAACTACTACTTTTTCAAAATATTTTTTTCTAATATGGCCCAATACACTAATATTATGTACCCTTCGAATTACAATAAAATGTTTGGCTGTTACCTGTGCCTCTTTGCAGGTGTACTCTTACCGTCCGCTTTACTGTTAAACATAAAATAACCACTTAAATGTACTATGCAATGTATAATGCATAATACATATGGCATAGACATACACCAATGACATACATAGACACAATTCCCACCATCCCTCTCCACCCATGGTTCAGAGGTCTTGACATTACCAGATGACTCATTGTTGCTTTTTACCGTTTTCGAATTGGTCATAATTTCTGTCTTTTCCTTTTTTATCTCTCTCAGTACCTCTCCACGCTGCACTTTACATGATGAACCTGCTATATGTGACTCTTCCCATCTTCTTTTTCATTGGCCCACTCTAAAATGATCCTTAACTACATGCTGTTTATAGAAAATAGTCTTTATGTTTTCAACTTTATATATACATATATTAAAACTCTAGTAGTATTCTGATATTAGCAAAAATATATTTTACTGTTTAAATTTTAAATCACCAGAAATTTCAAAACTTCTTCTGGTATTATTACTGATCTAAGAAGTCTTGTAGTAGTTTATTGTTACCTGTCAAAAATACCTAATATGAGTATAATTTACTCATATTAGGTATTTTTGACAGTTTGAAATCGTCACAATTATTATTTTAATTTATATTTCGAATGTTGCCAAAACTATAGATATCAATTCAAGCACTATACAAATTTTATAATATATAAAAAAAATGTTGACAATCTTAAAGAGATAAGTAATTTATTAATTTAACTAGCTACACGTCATGTCATAACTTATTGTCATTATTTAGTTGTTAAGTACAACTCACAATTACATGACCGGTATGTAGGCTGGTCCAATGACTGATTAGTAAAATCCCGAGGTATTTATTTTCAAATACACAATTTGGTCCCAATTTAGGCACAGGCAGTTAACGAGTCAACATTGTCGTTAATACGCAGAGAATAATTAATTAGAAATGCATAAATGGTCGCATGGCAACCAAATTATAATTGCTTAGCGCATTGTATTCAATGTCAATCTTTCAGCTGTAATTGGATTATGTTTTAAGCATGCAAGACACAATATACTTGATTAGAGAATATTATCTGTCACTGCTCTAACCAAACTTGTATTAAATTATGTAAATTCCAGCCGCAGAAAATAGGTTGTAAACATATGCACTGTCATATTATTCTGTTGACAATAATGGTCGATGTGAAATTTGGGAACCAGAGAACTATACAGACTATAAATTACTCTTAATTTAAGAGGAATTATTACATTTGATGATTTCTACCATGCAATTTAAATTTAAGAGATTACATACTGGCAACAATCGATATTTCTTTGGGAATATTTTTTTTTTTACTTACAAGTCCAGTAGTGTAAATTATTTGATTGTAAAATATGTATTTTAAAAACATTTAATAATTGTAAAATGTAGCCTAGTACGAGACAAATTTAAAATACATAATTAATATTTTGTAACTCTTACATTTTGACAACCAAATTATGTTTAAAAAGAAACTAACAAACTAAAAAACTATGACATAATAGTTTTTCAATATGACTGGAAATATTTGCTAAAATGACGACCCCCACATTTTTTTAAAAATTATAACTTTTTTGTATGATACATATTTAACAAAAAAAAAAAAATTATAATAATTTACCGAAAAATATGTAAAATATGTAAAAGTTCAATGCCCGGGTCGCATCCTAAACCAGTCTTCTTGTTAGCTGGACCTACAGTGACTGATCAGACAAAAGTTGAAGAATCCGTAAGTAGTAACAGTATCATAGTATAATATTTTCCATAATAATCAATAAGGCTGGGGAGAGCACGTTCCGTCTATGAGTGCGTAGTTACAGATAGATATTATGTATAGAAAGTACTACTGCTCGCAACGGATTAACGTGCA